CTGAGTTTAGAAAGCCAACAAGCTCCTGATTGGCCCCATGTCTTTTTTTGTGCGATTGGCTGTCCCGCCTGGAAGCTCACTTTACAAACCTCTGAAGCGCCACTGAATCGAGTCTGTGATTGGATGGTCAAACACGCTGAAGGTTGTTCTATTAAAAAATGCCCCCCCCCACTCCTGAAATCAAAATTTGATCCATGTCTTGGTAGGTCTGCAGATGGTCCGTCCTCTTCAGACCTAATGGATTAAACAAAGCTGTCTCTGCAAGTACAGCATTCTCACCCCGACTGTAGAGATACAGGATTACCACTGACTGCTGAACCTCATCCCCATGTCTCTCATAATGGGATCGCCATTAAGGGTGGCCAACCTTGTAATTCCAGTGAGAATTGCTGCCCTAAAGGATTTTTCTGCATCCAATAAAATCTGCTTGTCATCAGCAGATAAACTGAACATTTTCCACTGTTGCTCTGTTTAAATGGGAAATGAAGAGGCTTTTCATTGTTACTGGAAGAAGTGTTGTAACAACAAAGAAAAAATTAACCAAAGAAATTTCTTAACGTTGGGCACTAAACACAGAAAACAGATCCTTAAATAGTGTTTATCTTTTCAGGTAGTTGTCAGCAGCAAAACTACCTCAGTACCAGCCTGAACTGATCTGCTGGATTACAGCTGCCCAGTGGATCCTCTGCCTTTCAGAAACCCTATCTTCAACATGAGGGTGTGAATAGATGGTAGATTCCGCAGAAATTGCTCCCAACTTTGTCTCATACCACTTTTCCACTGGCCAAGAAACCTGTAAACCCCGGGAAAAATCAGCTTTCATTGGCAGTGGGAGCGGCTCACTGACCCGTGTCTACCCGGGTCAAAAGACTTGGCAAGTGATGCATGTTAAAAACACCTTGGTTCTGCTGTGGGAACACCAGACCCGGGTTGACCCAAAAACTTACGTGATACAATTGAGAGCAAAATACAGACGGCAACAAACCAGGACAGTCGAGTCTGTTTCAACAGGCCGACACAACAATGTTTACATTTGATAAACATGGAGCAGCACTGACAAGAGGAATTCAGATTGGCAAAGAGCGAAACCATAAAGTACACTTACTACACCCTGACTTTCTTACATGTTGCTCTCTGTTGTTTACCTTCCTGATTTCTGTCTCACTGGTAACATCAATGCTAACAAAGTGTGATGGTGTCACCAGAAATGCAGCAGCGGTGGGACAGAAGCGATGCAGCTTGTCAGTGAGGGGTTTGACCATGCCTTTGCCAGTGGAAACGGAGCCAAATGCTGATTGTTAACAGGTCGACCCCTTTTTGAAAAACCCAGGTTAACCTGCTAATTTCAGTGAAAAAGGAGCTTTAGTTTGCGCTGAAACTGGTATTTGGAGTATACCCGGATTTCATCAACTTGAATGCTCTGTTTCATTTACCTCATACCTCCAAACTGAGAAGAAAAGGAATTTCCTTTTAGACTTGATTGTGTTTCAGTTTCCAAACTGTTAAAAAAGCAACAAAATATATTTGAGATATTCCTGATGGAAAACCATAAAATGTTAAACAGCACCAGGTTCTTATACTAGTCATCATCTTCTTAACAGGGACTGGGTCGGGTCACAGGGGAAAACATCTCAACAGAGAGTCTTAGACTTCCCTTTCCCCTGACATCTCCTCTAACTCAGCTGGGGGAACCTCAGGCCAGCCAAGAGATATGGTTTCTCCAATGTGTCATGGGGCATCTCCTGGACCTCCTCCTGTGGTTCATGCCTAGAACACCCCTCCAAAGGAGGCCTCCAGAAACATTATTTTAGCCAGCTCAGATGAGTCCTATTGATGTAGGAAAAAAGCATACAATAACTACCAAATGTGAATAAAAAAGATTGCTTACTAAAGTTTTTAAATATCTTAAAACAGTAAGATTGCAGAGAGTCCTGCCAACATTTGACCTCATAGCAAGGGCGTAGGTTTGATTTCTACTTTGGTAGGGACACTATTGGTCAGATGTCATTGGTCCTATGCAATATGCCTGCCCTTTTTTATGCTTGACGTGAGCATCAGTACTGATGATAATTCATCATTTAAAGAGAAAAGCAGCATTCTTGCTACATTAATGCAAAATTTGAAAAGCACTAAACACACTAGAGGCTGTTTTATCAATGTTTGAAGATTTACCGGCTCTGATGAATGTGGAATTTGGACTATTTTCCACTTTGAAAATGGTTTCATTTGAATGACCAAGACAGACAGAAATACTGTATTTTCTTTTTGAGATATAGACTTGTGCAGAGGTAACCCTTACTCTTATTCTTTTATCTACTATGCTCTCTCTGTATCAAGCAAAATAATACATTCATTAAAATATTAACTTCACTTTACAAGTTAAACATCTGGGCTGCAGTTACTCTATGTAGCCCATTTCATGTATTTTATCTGGGGCTGAAAAAAGTAATTGTATTAATTGATTATTTAAATATTTGTCAACTAATTTAGTAAGTGGTTCATCATTAACTGGAGTATAGAGACTCTAAAACATAATATAAATGTAAAAGGTGCTTTTCGCCAACAAAGCAACCCACATGAAAAAAGTAATAGCAACAACATATCTATAAAAGGGAAACCCTCACATTTGCTTTTTCAGTCGACTGGGGCTAAGAATCAGAATTTTTGAAAGCTTACAGTCTTTGCTTGTCCATTTTTCCAGCAGTCTTTAGAACTGCTGTCTGACTAAGAATATTTAGCTTTATAAGAGAGAAAAAAATGAAAAAATTTATTATACTTCAGAATTAAATATTATTTTGAGATGCTACACAAATCCACAGATGGTCCACAAATCAAAACACTCTCTTGATTTTTTACTGAACTGCAATCAGCAGATTCTGCCTGTTGTAGCATAGATTATATTTAGTTTTCTAATTGGGACTAGTTTTGTTGTCTAATATTGATTGTAGTAAATCAGAAAGAGTGAAGGTGGAACTTGAGGCAGAAAAATGACATGCACAGCTACGTGCACTGCTAAGTTAAAGGGACAGGCGAGACTGGTCAAGAACTCAGAGGGAACGACAGCAGCAGCTACCAGGCAGTGATGCTGCAAGCGGAAAAGAAGTGCTGCTGCACCAACGCTTTATTGTAAATTATACACGTTATTCAGATCATACACTATATTGCCAAAAGTATTTGCTCACCTGCCTTGACTCACATATGAGCTTAAGTGACATCCCGTTCCTAATCCATAGGGTTCAATATGACGTCGGTCCACCCTTTGCAGCTAGAACAGCTTCAACTCTTCTGGGAAGGCTGTCCACAAGGTTTAGGAGTGTGTTTATGGGAATTTTTGACCATTCTTCCAGAAGCGCATTTGTGAGGTTGCACACTGATGTTGGACGAGAAGGCCTGGCTCTCAGTCTCCGCTCTAATTCATCCCAAAGGTGTTCTATCGGGTTGAGGTCAGGACTCTGTGCAGGCCAGTCAAGTTCATCCACACCAGACTCTGTCATCCATGTCTTTATGGACCTTGCTTTGTGCACTGGTGCACAGTCATGTTGGAAGAGGAAGGGGCCAGCTCCAAACTGTTCCCACAAAGTTGGGAGCATGGAATTGTCCAAAATGTCTTGGTATGCTGAAGCATTCAGAGTTCCTTTCACTGGAACTAAGGGGCCAAGCCCAGCTCCTGAAAAACAACCCCACACCATAATCCCCCCTCCACCAAACTTTACACTTGGCACAATGCAGTCAGACAAGTACCGTTCTCCTGGCAACCGCCAAACCCAGACCCGTCCATCAGATTGCCAGATGGAGAAGCGCGATTTGTCACTCCAGAGAACGCGTCTCCACTGCTCTAGAGTCCAGTGGCGGCGTGCTTTACACCACCGCATCCGACGCTTTGCATTGCACTTGGTGATGTATGGCTTGGATGCAGCTGCTCGACCATGGAAACCCATTCCATGAAGCTCTCTGCGCACTGTTCTTGAGCTAATCTGAAGGCCACATGAAGTTTGGAGGTCTGTAGTGATTGACTCTGCAGAAAGTTGGCGACCTCTTCGCACTATGCGCGTCAGCATCCGCTGACCCCGCTCCGTCAGTTTACGTGGCCTACCACTTCGTGGCTGAGTTGCTGTCGTTCCCAAACACTTCCATTTTCTTATAATACAGCTGACAGTTGACTGTGGAATATTTAGGAGCGAGGAAATTTCACGACTGGATTTGTTGCACAGGTGGCATCCTATCACAGTTCCACGCTGGAATTCACTGAGCTCCTGAGAGCGACCCATTCTTTCACAAATGTTTGTAAAAACAGTCTGCATGCCTAGGTGCTTGAATTTATACACCTGTGGCCATGGAAGTGATTGGAACACCTGATTCCAATAATTTGGATGGGTGAGCAAATACTTTTGGCAATATAGTGTATTATTGGTAGGGACAAATAGCTTGGTCCAAAATTTTGGTAGGGACATGTTCCTATGGTCCCTATGCAAACCTACGCCCATGAGGGTCACCCAAGGTAGACTGGTCCTAAGTGAAGGGCCAGAAAAAGAGCAGCCCAAAGACCATTGCCATGATGGGCAAAACAAATGGACATAGTGTTCCCTGGCCTGGACATGGGTCACCAGGGCCGCACTCTGCAGCCAGGCCTGAGGGTGGGACACCGCCTGGTGGCTACACTTTACCCTAGGAGCCCAGCCGCGCACAGTCCGAGGAGGAAACATGGGTCCCACTTCAAATGGGCCTGTAGGAGGGCCAAAGGAGGGTTGGGTGCATTGTGTGATGGGTGGCAGTCGCCAAGGGGGGGGAATAAATCCCAGTTCTATTTTATTGTCACATTTATTGTTTTTAGAACAAACTGGTAAAATGAACCAGGGTTTTTAGTGACAAACAAATATTTTAGACTCTTGATTGAAGATTCAGAATAATATCAAAAAACTGAGTTATTAATATAATCTTTTCCAATCTGTATCTGCATCTGTTCTGTAATACCATCAAACACACCTGCTAATTTTCACCAGGGGGAGGAGGGTTACCCAGGTTATCCAGGAAATGCGGGACCACGCGGACCAAGAGTAAGCCTTTTCTGTTGATTCCACTAAGGGTCAAATAAACAAAAAATATCATAGCTAACAGTATGCATGTGTTTCAGGGACCCCAGGGACCAAGAGGGATGAAGGTGACTCTCACTTAAAGCCTGAAGATATTGAGCTCCACCCACCCCGATCTGCTGGATAATTAACACTTCCGATTTTATTTGATTTCAGGGAGACTCAGCTACATACCCCACTCAGCGACAAATAAAAGGAGCAACAGGACCTCAAGGGCAAAAGGGAAAAACGGTAAATTCAATTCAGTTTATTTATATAGTGCCAATTCACAACACAAGTCATCTCAAGGCACTTTAAAGTTCAACCAGAACTGTTAATACTAGTTATTGTTTGGTATAAGCTTTTCTCTGGTTGGGTACTGATTCATTTCTGTTACAGGGAGAAAATGGAAGAAGAGGAGAAACAGGCCGATCAGGACCACCAGGACCCATTGGACGTCCTGTATGCTTTGAATTTATTTGTTCCTTTTCAACTATGATATCTATATAGGGAATCATAGAGGCTGATGTAGGTTGTTTTTGTTTACAGGGAAAACCAGGACTGCCCGGAGTTCAAGGTGAAAAGGTTTGTGAGAACAGGCAGACAGTTCAGATCATGAATATGGTTTGATTTCTAAATTTTGCCTGATAAGTTTTCAGCATTGAGATCTAGCAGTTTTCAGGAGCCAGAAGAATGTATTACTGGTTCAGAACTGACTTTTCTTGGGGAAAAAAACAACAAAACTATTATCTCTGTATTGAACATCTAGATGTTCTTGTTTCTTTAATACAAATTGGTTCTTAACCATCCCTGATGTTGTTGATAGATGGATCTTCTTTATTTACCTGCTTGATCACGATGGTCTGAAACAGCCTCATTTTGTTTAGGGTCAACAAGGGTCCAGTCCGACGAGCCCACGAGGACAAAAGGTGAATTTCCAGGGTCCCTTTGGAAACCCACCATAATATGGTTTCTGATGTGGACAAAGACATGTCTCATTGCTGTTAATTCATCATCTCTGTTTCCTCCACCAAGATTTTCAGCAGTGTTTGATTTTCAGGGTGATCCTGGACCTCCAGGGATCCCTGGAAAGCAGGGCATAAAACTGTATGCTGAAGGACCCAAAGAGCTGAAGGTAAATGTGTCTCTAAGTTTGACATCTTGATGTGTCGGTTTCTGGATTTTCCCAAATGTTTGCTTTTGTCTTTAAGGGAGTACCAGGTGAAATAGGACCGAAAGGTTTTCCTGGACTTCCTGTGAGTGAAGCGGTTTATTATAAAAACCCTCCAACATCACATTTTTAGACTCATGTATTGATCTCCACCTGCAGGGTCTGCCAGGGAAACCTGGGATTAAAGGAGAGAAGGGCGATAAGGGAGAACCTGGACCTCTTGTGAGATCTGAAAATACTTTATAATTCATAAACTGTTGGCTTTAAAGAATCTGGAGTTAATCTGAACTTTTCTGTTGGAGCTGCAGGGTAAAAAAGGGAAGAATGGATTACCAGGAGAAGTTGGACTAAAGGTAAAAATCAGAACAAAGAAATTATCTTAAAACAGTTTGCAATGGCCTGTGGACTCCGAAACACATCACACTACATTTAGTCATTCACACACACATTGAAACCCTGGTGGTGATAAGCTAGAATGTAACCACAGCTGGCAGGGTGAGACTTTCCAGCGGTTTGGTTCTTGTACTTTTATCTAGTGTTGCACCGATACCGATACTAGTATCAGACGGGTCCCCGATACTACCCTAAAATGGTGGTATCGGTATCGGCGAGTACCAACAAAGAGGGCACCGATACCATTTTGAGAGCCATAAAATTATTCAACTATTGTCACCAACTCCTGGTAGGCAATAAAAAGTTCTACTGGATTCACTTTGTATTACATTTTTTCCTGCTTCACAAAGGTAGGCAGCAGCTTGACAAAGCAATGAATGCAATTATTTTACATTATTATGGTATCGGTATCGGCCGATACTGCACAGCCAGGTATCGGTATCGGGGCCAAAAAATGGCATCGGCGCAACACTACTTTTATCTAATCGGGTGGTTATATGCAGAACAAACCAGTCAGAAGATAATAAACATTTTAAACTAATACAAATGGAGAATCTGGTTAAAATCTCTGCAACGTTTATTTCCTTACAGGGAGATAAAGGAGATGCTGGCCTCATCGGTCCTCCTGGTATTGATGGTGCCTTGGTGAGTTCTAAAACAGGTACTGGAACTATGGGTGCAATAGAAGAGTCTCTCTGTATTGATTGTGTTTGTGTCCCCCCCATTTTCTAGGGAATAAAGGGCAATCGAGGGCCTCCAGGTCCCCCAGGAGAAGTGAGTCTTTAACTTTACAGAAAACAAGTGTCCTCTATAAGTTTAAGCAGCTTTAACACATCTTAAACAGTAAAACAGGCAGAGCAGAAGGAACCCAAATGCATAAACTGCATGAACAGTTTGTGGATGTGGGCTGGCTGTTCGGTGGCCTTTGACTGCAGTCTGTCTGATATGCTGCAGCTTTGTTGGACATGCAGTTTATTGTTGGACCAAAAACTTTTTTACTGTTGTTTTTTATTTTTATTTTATTAGATCAGGCACAACCACTCATTTCTGAAAGGCCAGCCTGGTGTCCCTGGCCCCCCCGGGCCCAAAGGATTGCCTGGGTCTCAAGGTATCAATATGATTTTTACACTTGTTTCAATTGTATTTTGCTTTTGTTTTTGTTTTGTTTTTCCAGAAAGACACTGAAAAGTAAAAACTAGAGTCCTACTTGTAATCCCTCAATTAAATGTAATTCAGCTCAGTTTAATTGCGTAACTCCAATTCACAGTATGTCCCAATGAACTTGCAAATAATAAATCAATCCAATCCGATCATACAGACAGATTCCAGGTCAGTTACATTCATTCCAATTAGATTCCAGATATAAAACAATGTAGTTAAATGCAGTTTATGATTCACAATGGTTTTAAAGTGTTCTACTTCGGCAGACCCAGAAGAATCGAGTCAACAAAGCCAGAGAGGACAGTCAACAAAGAGAGAAATCTCCCTTTTAACAGCAGTTAGTGTTAACTGACCTAACTTGAGGTTTCAGAAGACAGAGCAGAGAAACAAACGGAAGAAAGGAGCACTGATTTAGGAGTACTTTCCATTTGAAAGAAAACGGTAAGCTACAGTAGCAGCTCCTATAGTGGCTTCAACAAGTCAAGAAGCACATTTGAACAGATTAACTCTTTGCCGGAATTAAAGTCTAGAGGTTGAGAGAATACTCCTTAAGTAAGTCACAGTTTTTGGCAAAACCTCAGCCGATAGCTATCTAGTAGAGAGACACAGTAAACAACAGATCATGTATGGAAGAAGAACATGAATGGCCCAGTCTATGTCCATCCCTACAAGACATTGTCATATCCAACAATAACCAGAGCAGATGGAGCCACCACCATTAGAGAAAAAAAACAACAAAGAAAAAACAGAGAACATGAAGGTAACATAACAAATGAAACTTAGAGTGGAGAATATAATACACATTTCTGTCTGCATCTCCTTGTTTTACTGTCTTGTTATCTAATTAATGATAAGAGTTGATGTTTTAAAAATGAGTGACATCAAAAATCTGATCTGATCTGTTTCAGGACCGACTGGTCCTCCTGGAGTGATGGGCGAGTCAGGTATAAAATAATTCAGTGTTCTTGTTCTCCATAACCATGGTTGGTGCTGATTAAACCCAATCAAGAGATCTTTAAAACTAACATGTAAAGAAGGGATGGGATCTTTCAACCTGATTTACTGGGACATGTTTTAAGACAGGCTTGGTTCTAATTATAATCTCTATACAGCATTATTAAGTTAATGTTATGGTTCCCTGCTTTTTCAATCTCTTTTTGAGTTTTCAGTTATCTATGTTTTTCTGCTTCGTTGATCTTCTGTTTCTTTTCCATTTTTGTTATATTTAAGCTGTGTTGTTGTTTTTTTTGAGTTACTCTCTGTTGCCCCCTTGGGCCTGTCTCCTTTCCCCTACGTTCCTTCTAGTTACTTCTATCCGCACCTGTTCCATTTCAGGTGATTTGCCCATTCTTTGTTCTGTCCCCCACATATACACCCCCTGTGCAGTTACTCATGGCTGCTTTCTCGTTGTTAGTTGGCTCCCCATGTGTCTTTTTCCCTGGTGTCCCCTGGTTCTTGGTTTTTTGCATACTGTTCTTGGATTCTGTTTCGGTTGCCTTTTTCATTAAATCAGCAAAACTATCTCTGCATTTGGGTCCTCAACCAAATTCCACAAAACCTGAAACTTAACAAATGAAACTGGCTTGTCATACAACCATAAACCACAGTTCTCTTTTGACTTTATCCTGTGAGTAATGTTTAAAGGGGTCATAGAATGATTCTATAGGGTATTTGGTGCTGTCCTTATGGTCTCTGAATAGGATGTGTAACATTGGACAACAACCGGACATGTCCTACTTTTCATACCTAAAAAAATGTCCGGGGGGAATTTCGAAATCGTTCGGGATTTTGGTCGACTACAGTGCAGCACGTAGGCGAAACAGGGATCCAGTGGAAGATGGAGCGACCGAACTCAACCCGGTGACGGTACCCTTGACAACGGCAGCCCTGTGCTTCCAACCCTTACCGGGCAGGTGAGGGGGAAGCACGGTGCCCCCCCTCGCCTGACATAAGGCAGGTGTGCTTCCCTTACCATGCTTCCTCCCCCCCGCAGTAAGGCAGGCAGGGGAACCATACTGTCACCAGGTCAGGTTCAGTCGCTCCGTGCTTCAGGGCTTCGTTTGAATTCGCCCGTTAAATGTTGGAAGTTTAGAATTGTGAGATTTGCATAGAAAGGAGGTGTCAATGGGGTTTTAACTTCTTTGTACGCCCATCTCACCCACTGAACTATCATTATTCATCTATGACAATGTAAACTCGGTTTTGTATTCTAACATATTGATTGATTTGAATTTAACCCATTCTTTCTTTAGAAACAAGTGTTTTGTTGTATGATTTCTGTAATACAAATATACTAATGGTTGAAAGAAGAGATCTAGTTTCAGTTGAGCTTGGGCTCAAAGATTTTTAGTCTACCTCAGACTTCCCATTATTGAAATTAACATTGAACATCCACTAAATTGGAACACCATGGACTATGGATTTTATTTATTCATTTCTGATCGTATTTTGGTAGATCCTATAAGGGATTTTGATGGACGTCATCTTATAACTTAAACCTGAGACAAATCTTGTAAATTGAGCTGAATTGTCTTTGGACTAGATTCGACTTTTGATTTTATGACAATTCAGTTCAAATCAACTCAGGTTTTTTAGTAGGTCCAAACACAATTCATGTGCTATTGAATCAATCCAATATTGAAAGTGTCCTTTCAAGTCATTCCTACTGAGAAATGGAGGATTGGATGATTCAACAGAGCTATGGGTCCTTGTGAGTTTGGCACATGTATTGAATAGAAATCTTATTCTCTTTTATTAATGAAGATAATTATGTATAGATCACTCTAAAGACTTGAGAAATCAACTCAAAACCTTTCTGTGAAAGACTTGTAACTACATTTTTACTGGATTATAACTATAATTCCAGAGTTTTGGGTTTTTCAGTTTTTGTCAATTGAAAATTTCCCTAACATTTTCCACCTCAACTGTTGTGTCTTTCAAGGTATGGCTATCAGTGGACCACCAGGTTTCAGAGGATCACCTGGCTCACCTGGTCCTAAAGGAGAACCAGGAGTGCCAGGGCCAGTGGTTAGAGGACCACCTGGACCAACCGGAATCCCAGGAGCTCCTGGAGCTAAAGGAGAGCAAGGAGAACCCGGAATATTGAGTAGAGTTTTTTTTAGCTTTGAGTTCTCAATCTAATTTTCTAATGTTATAACTATATATTGATAACTCAGCATAAGAAGATCTTCTAATTTATTATCTTTGTTCCGTTTTACCCTCAGACTATCAGCCAGGAAGAACCGGTCCTCCAGGAGAAAAAGGGGAAAGAGGACTTCCTGGACCGGGAGGAAAGAGTGGGGAGAAGGGTAATTATAATTGAGTTTCAGCTAGACCATAAACAATTAAATTACATGCACTTCAATTCAGTTATTCATCTCAAGGGACTTTACAGACAATCCTATCAGATGATACAGTCAAACTGGTTAAAAGTTTCGATCAAAATAATACATTTAATCAAAATAAAGCAAACTTTACTTTCTTTTCAATTAAATAAAAAGATAGCAGCAATGTTCTAAACTTTAATAAAACACATTAGAAAACAGCCCACATTATGATATAAATAACTATATATAAATAAATTAATTCCATTATCACAGATCAAGCCATTAATTAACAAATTATTTTAAGAGAAAGATCTTAAGTTCAATAAACTGCTTTTAATTGTTTTATTTATTTTTTTCTGAAATGGAGTTATCCATTTATCTTCCGTAAAAATTCAAAAAATATCCACTGGACTTAGGTTTTCAAGATTTGAAGACGTTTCGCCACCTCTCCAGGAAGCTTTCTCAATTCAAATGTCTTGATCCGCAGTGAGTTTGAGTCTTATATGGACAAGGCCTTGTATTGCTTGGAAACATGCAATAGAAACCGATGAATGGGTCGTTTAGCTCCATCTTTAGCCTGTGATATCTGAACCTGTCTATGATTCTAGGGGTCGGTCGTTAAAGGGGGGATTGCCATTAAGGGGGGGGATTGTCTCCTGTAATACCTGAAACCTGTCTATGATTGTTAAGGGGTGGTCGTTAAGGAGGTATTGTTCACCGGCTGGAGCGGGTAGGTCTTCCCTTTATCTTCCCTCACTTAGTCCTTTTCAGGGTTGGGGCTGGTAACTATCTCTAGCAGTTTATGGGCGAGAGGCTTGGTACATCCTGGATAGGTCGGCAGTCTGTGTCAGGGCAACACAGAGACACACAAAGACCCACAACCATGCACACACACACAATCGCACTTAAGGAGAATTTAGAGAAGCCAAGCTAACAGTCATGTTTTGGGACTGTGGGAAAAAACAGGAGTACCCGGAGAGAACCCACACTTGCACGGGGAGAACATGCAAACTCCATGCAGAAATACCCGGGGCCAGGAAACCAACCCAGAACCTTCTTGCTGCAAGGCAGCAGTGGTATCCACTGTCCCACCATACAGCCCTGAAATGGAGTTATGTTTTATTTAGTTTATCATAAATTACTCTTTTATGATTGTTTTTTTTGTTGTTGAATTTATTGGATTTGCGCTGTGGGCAAGACTCTGCCTGAATGGCATATTCGGTGTGTAACAGTACAGATGATACAGAGAGGTGTGACTGACTGCTTCCTGGTCCACATCCTGGGCAGTTAGGGTTGTAGAAGACAATCATTAAACAAAGAGCTGCTCCATCCAACGTGGGATGATGCCATCTCTCTGAATCAGACCTGGTTTTCCCAAAAAAGTTTGTCAATTCTCAACGTCTCCTACATTGTTTTCTGGACACTACCTAGAAAATCAGAAGTTGAAAGACAACATATACTGTAACTAGGGGTATCATCACTGCTCAGATCAGATAGGTAACCAGGGAAAAGCAGTCCAATATTGTTTATTCCAAACTTTCTCACTGAAGTAACACTAATGTTTGATAACCTCTGATTGGAGCAATCAAGTGTCATGACTGGGCATGATTTCAATTTAATGGAATTCAGTTTATTTTTATAGCACTAATTCACAACACATGTCATCTTAAGGCACGTTACAGTTCAGCAAATTATACAGTCAAATTGAATAACAATAATACTGTATTGAACCTTATGCTTAGCCAACAGTTTTAGGTTGGCAGGATTGGATGTCACTCATTCTGGCCCCTGTCTGCCATGTTTCTGACTATGGAGCTGATGATTATGGGGTTGGCTTCTCAGGTGCTGCATTGTCAAGTGGGGAATATTGGTTAGAAATATGGACAGGTTGGTAATGACTAATGGGAGGGGATCTAGAACTACTCTTTTTGCCTATAGTTTCGGAATCATGGCTGTTTAGCATCCCATAAAGGCTGTTTAGCCACTGCGTGGCTGTGTCCCTGGTCTTGATGGCTCTGAGCTGTTGGCTACTGCACCTGGTTTAACTCCTAGATGTTCAACAGCCTGACACTAGGACTCTAGATCTCATACTCTCATCCCCAAAGCAACAAAGCATCAGGAGAGACTGAGAAGGAAGCCATAGTACCACTAACCTAGCGCGAGACTTACCACCCCTTACCAAGAGAAATAAAAAATTGTGTGAACACAAGAAGTTCCCAGTAGAACATGTGTTTAAAGGTGCTTCTGTACACTTTGAGTAACTTAGAGATATCACAGAAAAGAAAATTAAGTCTCAAATGGAGACAGCCTGAGGACTACAGAACTTAGGTCTGCAACAACCGGCCTGTCGCACTGACTTCAAACATGATGAAGTTCTTCAAAAGGTTGGTTAAAGAACACATCGTCTCCAGTCTGCCGCCAACAAGCGACCCGTTTCAGTTCGCCTACCAACGGAACTGCTCCACTGAGGACGCCATCTCTGCTGCTCTACACGTGAGCCTGGCACACCTGGAGGAGAAGAACACCCACATGCCGATGCTGTTCCTGGACTTCAGTTCAGCTTTCAAGACCATCATCCCACAGCATCTGATGGGTAAACTGGAACAGCTGGGATTGAATACATCCCTCTGCAACTGGCTGCTAGACTTCCTCATCAACAGACCTCAGTCAGCTCGGGTCACCTCACCTCTGATGTCATCATCCTAAGCACAGGCTCCCCTCAGGGCTGCTTCCTGAGCCCCCTGCTGTTCACCCTGATGACACATGACTGCGTCCCCAGGTTCACTACCAATCACATGGTGAAGTTTGCAGACGACACCACGGTGGTGGGCCTCATTAGAGAGGACAACCACAACTACAGAGATGAGGTGGAGCAGCTGGTGGACTGGTGCAAAGATAGCGGATGCAGCAGCGCCTCAGACGGTAAGAAGATGAGATGAATTGGTAAGAACAGCAGAGAAGAAGATCGGGGCTCCTCACCTCTACATTAAAGACATTTGATCCAAGTGCTGCGTGTCCGGAACCCGTAACATCATAAATGACCCCTCACATCCCCCCATTTAGGCTGTTCTCCCTGCTGTCCTCTGGGAAAGGGCTTCAAAGCATTCCGATGGAGGCCCAGCCGATTCTGAAACAGCTTCTTCCCCACTGTCTGTCTAAGTCTTAGTCTAACAACAAAGAGAGTCATGGATAAGCCTTACCAAGAGACTTCTGCACATGTGGCATAACTCTAACCCATTTTTTAAAGTTTAAGTTATTTGTATTTTTTTTGTTACTTCAGGTCAAAAAGGGGAGATTTGTACAGTTTGTATGACCAAGTCTTGCCCTCCTGGACTTCAGGGACCACCAGGCCAGGAGGGTAAAAGTGGGACACCAGGTAAGAAGGAGATCTGTTTTGACTAGTTTTCTCCTGGTAATAGTCAGAGAACAGACTGTGGATTTTTTTTCTCCCTAGAGTTTCCTCAAAAATGCTCCAAGAAGAATTATCCAAATCCAAAGAATTTCAAAGAACATCTTAAAGGAACTAGAAATCAACTCACCTTTCTTTTACTTTTCTTTCCAGGTCCACAAGGTTGTAGAGGGCCTGCGGGTGATAAAGGTTTCAAAGGTGTTCCAGGGCCACCAGGACCACGGGTGAGATCTGCTCTACTTCTGAAACCAACTGAATTCTGATCCAATTCCCAGGAATGTTACATAACTCACAATTCTTAGCAAAACATTTCTGGCAAACATTTGTTTGTTAATTTCTAAACAGGGTTCCATTGGTTTGCCTGGCCGTCTAGGGCTCCCTGGACCAACAGGTGATTTAGGTATCATTACTAGACTGGGGCAGAAGGGCGAAGATGGGGACAAGGGGAATCCTGGGCCACCAGGACAACAAGGGAGGGATGGATCTAATGGAGCACCAGGCCCAAAGGGTGTTCAAGGACCGCAGGGGAATCCTGTAGGTATAACCTTTGTGGCTGCATTGTATATGTACAAGAAGTAACCTAAAAAATACACAAATGGTTACAATCTTTAAGGTTGTAGTTTCACCATCTGGCTGTCAATGTAACAGCTGTAATTTATATTACTTTCTTTATTTTTTCAGAGTCCACCAGGGCCAAAAGGTGACAGGGGCCCAATTGGCAACACTGGTCCCCAAGGACCGCAAGGCCAGATGGGGCCTACAGGAGAGCCTGGTATTGGGGCTCCAGGGCCTCCAGGATCTAAAGGAGATAGCGGGTTACTGGGAAAGCCTGGAGAACCGGGGCCTCAAGGTCAGTTTATAATGATGTGCTCAAGCTCAGAAACAGTTTGGGAAAAAAGGCTTAACTGATTTCTGTTTTTCAGGAGAAAAGGGTTCTCCAGGGCAAATATTTCCAGTTCAAGGAGATCCAGGCCAGAAAGGAAAGAGAGGATTTCTTGGGATCCCTGGAGACGAAGGTAGCCCTACAATGGCAGTATATGTTTGCAAATTTGGATGTACCACACATCTCCCTTAACCAGGACTTGAAAGTTAATAGGACATGCGGTATATGAACCTATATTTTCAACTGTGCTCTTGAGATCAGTTACTCGGCTTAAAGGGGAACACTGGTTTTTTTACATTGGCCTCTTGATTTTACGTTGTTACATCATGTTCTACTCACCCATATGAGTTTTGTGTCATTTGGAGCTGTTCTGAAGATATTCCCTTAGGTTAGATCCAAGTAGCATCTTCCTTTGGGCAACGAGTTGAAGGCACAAAATAAACCGTTCATAATTTATTATTTATGGTACACCAACATTCATAACATGTAGGCGAATCACTGTCCCCCAGACATCTGCGGTTATATTTTTTATATTTATATCTTTTAAAAACAAAACGGAGTGTGTATGACGCCATCCGCGCGCCGGACTGGAGTTGTGTCAGGCAGCCCGGGCCACAGGCGGCCACGCTCTACCCCTTCTATTCATTCTAGCTAATGTGAATCGTTCAATTCCATTTCGAGAGCGAGATCATCTGTGGTAGTAGCACTAGACATCTTCCAGGCATGTGAGTAAAACTAGCATCAGTTCAGCGGACAGGATGAATGAATTGTAGCTGGGGCGCGTTTCAGTTTGAGTTAAATCATGTGCTGAAGCTAGAAACTTTAACTGATTAGAAAGAAATAATATAAAGTACTCTCCTGTCTAGAAAATAAAGCTCACTGTGTTTGACTAAACCAACTGCTTTACTGTGCAATCAATATAAAACAAGAAAAAGTCATGAATAAAGTGGATTTGGATTAAAAATGTGATCTTTGAGCCTGATAAACAACATAGGCTTCAGTTTGTTTCTGTTCTCTTTTGGTCTCAGGTATAAGAGGACCTCGAGGCCTTCAAGGTGATGCGGGTCCCAAGGGTGAAAAAGGGCTGACAGGTGTTTCTCAGTGCGGTACCCCAGGAAAACCAGGGTCAAAGGGTCAGATTTTGAACATTACCTTCCCAGTTCTCAAAGCTTTTACAGAAACAAGATTAAATGCTTAACTTAAATGTCCTGCCTGACATTAGGAGACAAGGGTTCCAAAGGAGGACAGGGTAAACCCAGTTTTGGCATCAAGGGACGAGAGGGGCCACGAGGCCCCCCAGGGCCCAATGGCGTGAAGGTAGTATAACCAGTGGAACCCTCTAAGAAAAACACAGTGAATGATGTGATTATTTTGTACCTCCTTCCATCTTCTTTGAACCAAAATTAAACAAAACCAAACATCAGACTGAAACATAAGAGAAGCAGGTGCTCAGATTATAAATCTATAGTTAAATATAAACAATTTACAAATGCATGAAAAGTTATCTAATTAACTAATAACTTAACTCTTAACTAGCATGATCCAATAACATGTTTAAACCTTTAATGACCAACCTTTTAAATATTTAATCAATAGTGAAATTATTATAAGCTATTAACTAATAGCTTCAATGCTTATGATTTACTTAACTTGTGCCTAAAGTCTGAACTTCTTATGTTTGAACTTTTAACTTATGAATAAACTGTTAACTAATGAGTGTAAGTTTTTTATTTAAACCAAACAACTCATTAAAAAAGGAGGCTGAATGAGTAATTTGACCATAAAACTGAAAATCTAAATTTCTTTTGTTTGAATGCAAATAGAATATTACAATCTTATTTTTTTGTGGATTGATTTTTACTTTTGTTGGTCTCTCTGGTAAAAGGGGAACAAAGGTATAGGTGTACCTGGGGAGCAGGGTCAGGAAGGCTCTCAGGGAGAAGATGGCTGTGTTGGACCACCAGGAGCTCCGGGGCCTCCAGGTCCAGAGGGTGCTCAGGGACCTCCAGGAGAAGATGGTCCTCAAGGGCCAAAAGGTACCAGGGCAGCTGTGAATCGTTGACTATTTCCCCAGTTTGTACCAGACTTTTTCGTTTAGAATAAAACACAATGTAAAATCCCTTTATTGTCCCACAATGGGGAAATTCTACCATTTACTGTTTTGTGTGTCAAGTGGTTCCAGTCCATTTTCACTGTTTTATTGATCCCTTTAAATCAGCTAACTAGGACTTTTATTCAGGTTTCTGTGTCATTTTCCACACTATATACTCATTTTTAGATAAGGGTTTAATGGATCATTGAAGCCAGTGGAACAGTAACTATCATATAACAGCTCTGTAGCTTTGACATTGCATAATATGGTAATTAGTCTTAACTTTGAAGTCATCCTAAAAAAAAGATCAATTTCTCTGCAGAGGAGCTGGAAAACTGTAATTTTATGTGTCTCTTTCCTGACCTACTTTACTAGGTCATTGAAAGAACTGCCTAACTGCCAGAGATTTGTTCTAGGTAACTATGGCCTGAAAGGCTTACCTGGTCCTACTGGAGTGCCTGGACTCTGTTACCCTGGAGCTCCAGGACCTCGAGGAGTGCAAGGTCCGGAAGGTTTAATTGGATTAAAAGGTAAAGAAAACTGATTAAAGTGAGAAGTAAATATAAATCTGACTCTTTAAGAACTCAACATGTTTACATTGTCATTTCTGCAAGGAAAAACGGGACCAAGGGGTCAGAAAGGGGATCCTGGGATTGACACATTTGGATTCCCTGGGCCTAGGGGGCCAAGAGGGACACCAGGATCTGATGGACCGCCAGGTCCAGTCGGAGCTGTAGGAAGGAAAGGCCTGAAAGGGAGAAGTGGGGACCCTGGGAGCCCAGGTGATATGCTGGTTTAGTACATTAATGGGTTCTACCATTATCCTTTTGACTTGTTGGAGTTCTCAAGGTTAACTGCATCAGCAAAAAGCTCTGTCAGTTTTTCTGGTAAGACAAGAGATTAACTAACTAAAGGTTAGATCAAATGATTGTATTTAATTTAATTGTATTTAATTGTATTTAAAGAAACTTTTTATGTTTTATGCTTGTGTTAAAGGTATCAGAGGGGAAATGGGTCTTCCAGGACAGTCTGGAAGTCCAGGACCGGATGGTAAACCAGGCAATTATGGGGAACCGGGACCAACAGGTTTTATATAACACTTGGTGAACCATGTTTTTATTGTACATTGAAATAATATCTCTCTGAGCCCCTGACATGATTTGTCCCAGGTGATAGGGGCGCAGATGGGCTAAAGGGTTTTCAGGGGCCTCCTGGAGGTCCAGGAGACAAAGGGGACACCGGACCAAAAGGATTTCCAACAACTACTACTGTACCAGGATATCCTGGGGATATGGGTTTGCCAGGTATTTGTTTTGCACTATTTCCTGCATCTAGGCGGCATCTATATTTTAGAAAAATCCTTGGTGTGGTGGGTTTATGGTCACGGTAGGTCAAGACATGGACCGGTAGTACACATTGGACAGGTTACCAGTACATCACAGGCATAACCCCTACAAACTCTGTCATGTAAACCTCACACTAGATAAACCACATGCTCCAGACAAAGGAGATGGTCAGATCTATCAAAGGCCGGGAGTAGACACACAATCCATGTAACTAAATATTGGTATTGTGGATGTTTTTGAAAAGTGGATGCATTAGCTTTATAAAAAAAAATGCTCACCTACTGTGAGCTGTAATATAGTGCCTTACGAAAGTATTTGACTCCCTTGAACTATTTGATCTTTTGCCACATTTCAGGCTTCAAATATAAATGTATAAAACAGCTTTTTTATCAAGAATGTACAACAAGTGGAGGAAAGTTTATTGGACATTTTAAACTTTTGTGAATCAAAAACTGAAGACTGGGTCATGCCAAATGAATCGTCCCCTTTACTTTCAATGCAGCAAACTCTCTCCAACACATTAAGAGCTGCTTTTTGTATCTCTGCTTCTGTCTCCTTGAACCCCAGTCGGCCTCGGCAGATGGCCGCTCACACTGAGCCTGGTTCTGCTGGAGGTTTCTTCCTGTTAAAAGGGAGTTTTTCCTCTCCACTGTCGCTACAAGCATGCTTAGTGTGGGGGATTGTATTTGAGTCAATGAGTCAATGCAATCAACTGGTTTTCCTTAGATAGAAAACTTTGTATCAATTTGATCTGGTTGAACTGTAAAGTGCCTTGAGATGACATGTGTTGTGAATTTGGCGCTATATAAATAAACTGAATTGAATTGAATTGAAGAGAGGATCTCTGAATGATCCAATCTTGGCCTAAATCTGTGTGTAATTAAGTCTCTGTATAAATGCCCCTGCTCTGTGATAGTCTTATGGGTATGTTTGAAGGACAGAGATCATCATAAAGAACAAGGAACAAACCAGGCAGGTCCAAGATACTGTTGTGGAGATGTTCAAAGCCGGATTAGGATACAAAAAAACATTTTCCAAGCTTTAAACAGCCTAAGGAGCACTGTTCAAATGATAAAATCAAAATGGAAGAAGTATCAGCCCACTGCAAATCTATGAAGACCCGATCGTCCCTCTGAACTTTAAAGAAGGACAAGGAGAAGACTTATCAGAGATTGAGCCAAGAGGCCCATGATTACTGGATGAACTGCAGATATCGACAGCTGAGGTAGGAGACTCGGTCCATAGGACAACAATCAGTCGCATACAGCACAAATCTGGCCTTTATGGAAGAGAGGCAAGAGGAAAGTCATTTCTGAAAGATATCAAAAAAATTTATTGTTTAAAGTTTGCCACAAGCCACCTGGGAGACACAACAATCAGATGAAACCAAAATCAAACTTTTTGGCAACAATGCAAAATGTTATGTTTTGTGTAAGAGCAAAACAGCTCATCATCCCTGCTTTTCTTCAGCAGGGAGGATGGTTATAATTGATGGGAATTTAGATAGAGCCAAATACAGGACCATTCTAGAAGAAAAACTTTTGGAGTCTGCTAAAGACTTAAGAATGGGAGAGAGATTTTTCTTCTAACAAGACAATGATTCAAAAATGAGGAAAATCTACAATGGAATTCCAAAAAAGTTAAAAAACAAACCACTGGACTGTGTTTTGCAGATTTGAAGACGTTTTGCTTCCCATCCAGAAAGCTTTGTCAATTCAAAATGTCTGGAATAGTGTCGAGTTCCAGACTCATATGGGGGGCCTTTTCATATGTTGCTGGAGTCTCTAATAAAAACCCAAGAGGATTTTCCTCAAACACAAAATCCTAGTACATTTCAAACCAAACAAGACCCTCAGACAGAGGCTGGTGCATCCTAAAGTCTGAACCCCCAGACCTAAGATGAGCGGATTGGTGTATGCAGTTCTATGCCATTGAGGAATGCTCTATATCTTTATATTGGCTCAACACAGGTGAGCTACCTCCTCTGTACAAGACTCTGTTGTCCACCTACACCTTAAGGACAAAGGACACTAGTTTGAGGACCAGCATGTTTTGAACAAAGAAGACAGATGGTTTTAAAGGGGTTTGAAAGAAACCATTTAGGAGAGAAAAACAAACTTAAACAGAGTAGGAGGACTCAGGTTTACGCTCTCGAAAACCTATACCAGAGGGATAGAATTCAGTTCAATTCAGTTTATTTATATAGCGCCAATTCACAACAAAAGTCATCTCAAGGCACTTTACAGTTCAACCAAATCATACAGTCAAATTGATTAAATTGATTCCTTCCTGCTATCATCTCAATCCTCGTCGCCATGCTGGGGACCAAAACATCTCACCTGTTTATCCAGGCCAACAACGATCCTCATGACTCCCCATTACTGGGGGGGTTGAATTTGTACTGGTACCCAACATTACTCTAGACATTTTGAATTGAGAAAGCTTTCTGAATGGGAACCAAAGGTTTTCAAACTTGGAAGTCCAGTGTTTGTTTGTTTTTTTTACTTTTTTGAAATGGCTTTGCCAACATAGCTGTAATGGAATGATTTACATATAAACATATCCAGGTTTTAGAATGGCCAAGTCAAAGTCCAGACCTGAATAAATCAGGAAAGAACTGAAAGCTGGTCTCTACCCAATCTTTCTGAGCTCAAGCTGTTTTGCAAGAAAGAATGAGCAAACATTTCAGTCTCTGCATGTTCAAAGCTAATAGAGACATACCCCAATCAACTGGCAGATTTTAATTGCAGCACGAGGTGACGCTACAAACCTTTAAAGCTACAGTGTGTAATAATTACAGGGATATACAGTCAGAAATGTAATATATTATACATAACTATGTTATTTATCATCATCTACGAGCTCAGCCTCTTAACCTTAATATTTGCGTTGCCTTAGAATTCGTTATTTATAATTACATAGGAGCGGGTCTCGCAGCCATGGAGGCAGACATCTTTGCGCTACGGCAGCGCAAATCCAACAAACTAGCGATTGCGAGATCGCCCATTACGCTCAAAAGTAACTACGGCAAGTTGAGAGAGATGAACTGAGACGGTACTGAAATCTATACCCTACACAAACTAATGAAATACTATCTGTAAAATTATCTATGTAAACAAACCTCATCACTTGAGAAGGTAGGCGATGCGGACGTCGTGTAAGACATTTTGTCCCGTAACGCTCGCCGTGCTGTTGGGGGGGAGAAGCGGTGGGGGGGGGGGGGGGGGGGGGGGGATGTTCATGTTGCTGCGGTCTGCAGTCTGGACGTTAGATGTCGCTGAAAATTACACACTGTAGCTTTAACTCAAGGGCGCTGAATAATTTTGCCCACCCAATTTTTTCAGTTTTTTATTCATTTAAAAAGTATAAAAATATCCAATAAATTTCGTTCCACTTCATGATTGTGTCCCACTTGTTGTTGATTCCTCACAAAAAATGTATACATTTTATACCTTTATGTTTAGAGTCTAAGCTGTGGCAAAAAGTGGAAAAGTTCAAGGAGGCCAAATACTTGCAAGGGACTGTATACTGCTCTAAACACCTCTCTCTGTGTTCTGTATTAAAAACCTTCTTACTAAAACTACACAATGTCCTTTCTAGTCCTAATCATAGGAATGCACCAGTGCTGTATTCCCAGTCCACTTTTCTTTACAATTTCTTTACAAACTTATTTTTACTCTGCAATACAAATCTGCTTGAAATTCAGACAACACCATGATGGTGTTGTCTGTGAATACCTAGTCACAGTTGTCAATACTGAAAACATAGAGTGACTCATATGACCTGCTCATACTACACAGAGAAGCAGCAGAGTGTGTCAATAGCATCAAGTCCATATACCTTCACATCTCTTCTACCCTGGATCAGGAACACATTGACCCTGTTGAAAATCTGCTTCTTTAGGAATCTGTAAAAGTCTGGGCTGTCTTCAAACTCCATAAGAACTAATACACAGCCACAATGACAGCAACCTTATCCCTCCCACCTACAGCCAGTTTGTGCTGCTGCCTTTAGAAAATTGAATCCTGAATCCTATATTCACATACAGTCCTAATCGTTCATTCACTTCCGATTCTTGATCAGGGCCCAGGGGTCGTACCGGTGAAATAGGAGAAAGAGGCCCCTCAGGACCTCCAGGGTCAGATGGCTTAGAAGGGTCATCTGGCTCCCAGGGACCACCAGGTAAACAATTGTCTGTAAAGCACAAACTACCAATCTCAGTGATAAACATTAGGGACTGTATTTTAAGAATGTACTGTGCCTCGATGTCAGGACTTCCTGGAGATCCAGGCAGAGATGGAGAGAGAGGTCCACCTGGTGTTACTGGGCCTCCAGGTGATAAAGGGTTCATTGGGAATCCAGGTAATACAACAATTACACTACCTAACATTCAGTTGGTGTTCCGCTTGATATAAAATATAAATGTACTGCAAATTAATTTGGTAACCAATATTTAAATTCAGCATCACAGCTGATTGATTGTTGCATCTGCAACATGTTGGTTTGTAGTTTTTCAACCCACCTGAAGAATCACAAGGTGAATCACTGAGTTTAGTGTTTTATTGACCAAAAGCAACAAGAATCTGAAAGAGGAGAATTGCAAGAAATCAGTGAGTTCTGGGGGGAGAAAGCAGACTGATCAGGAAAGAGTTGGTTGATGACAACTCATAACCTGACAACAGCCAGATGCATGTCTCGCTCCGCCTAGCTCCACTCACATACATCTGGGAACCCGCTCATTGAAAGTGATTTCCCCAACCGAATTTATGGTCTGTCCAATCAGGACGCAGGGCGGGTGTGTCCTGGAGTGGAGAAGCGACCGTGAGATTCCAACAACAATGGCGGCTCGCATTGAGGAAGCAAGCGTTAGCATTGATGCTGCTATTTCTTCTGTGTTGTCCAATCTATCTGATATTGTTTCATTAAAAGAACATCAGAGAACGGCTTTGAAGGCTTTTGTTGGTGGAAACGATGTTTTCGCCCTTCTCCCGACCGGATTTGGCAAGAGCTTGATCTACCAAATGGCTCCTCCTCTCACAGCATCACGGGTTAGCTTCGGTGTGAGTGATTGAAATAGCATGTCAATAAAGATGACAGACAAGTGGCTTATCTAATCATATGAAGGAGTTTTGATAAGGCCCCTCCTTCAGTAAAGGCAATTCCTATGGCGGGTTCCCAGATGTATGTGAGTGGAGCTAGGCGGAGACATCCATCTGGCTGTTGTCAGGTTAGACAACTCATGGGTGATGTTTTAACTGTAGCTTACTTCAGAGATGAAGGGTAGGTAATAGGGATCTTTTAGGATTTGATTCAGTGGGCTTTACAGACTTCACCCCAGAGGCCCCGAGAATGTTAGTAAAATCTGAGAGTGTCATGATGGGGTCCTAAAATGTGCCCACATGTAGAACACCACACAGAGGCAGTTTAAAAGTTAACCAGTTTATTGAAGAATGCAACCAGAGAGACAAACATTGAACTCAGAGGGACAAACTAAGGGGATTCCAAGCAGGGGAGAATGCAGTGGTCTAGGGAAACTCAGAGAGATTAAACAAAGGGGATTCTCTGGGGGGGGGGGGGGGGGGGGATCCAGCGGTCTGGTGAACCGGAAACTCTAGAGGGGAGGTAACAGTGATTAGTTCATGGTCCGTAGGGAAAATGATACTTGGCTGATGAATGGTTTGTAATGACCCACATAACGGGGATCCTGGTTGATCCTTGGGTCCTGTGGGGGTATTGACCAGAGATGGTTGAACTCATTGGATGGCGGACAAGGCAGGCTAATGATGGGTCCAGAGGAGCAACGGAGCAGACTGTCACAGGGTTTTCCAGAGGGTGGCTTGAATGGTTCTGGTGAAGGTTTCCCCTTACTCAGTGTGACTCGAATATTTCCTTCCAAGGGGGTAGAAGGACCAGGCTTATCCAGCGGATCTGGAGGGTTTCTTACCGGAGAACAAAGAAACAAAAGGCAAAGCTTAGATTCAGAGAGACAAGCCATTAATTAGACTCAGCTAATCTCAGTTTGGCTAGAGTACCCAATACTGGCAAACACTCTGGCGTCAAGGTGGTGACAGTACGCTGCTCAAATACTCCTCTGGTGATGACTCAACGAGCCGCAGGTGTGAGAGGAGGCCTAAATGGGGAAGGGGCACCATCGAGTGGTGGAAGGAGAAACAAAAAGAAAAACACAAAACAAACCCCACAGACAGGATCCCTAACAGAGAGTATTTGTACTTTCAAGAATAAAACAGAATAGAAAATCCCTTTCTTGTCCCACAATGGGGAAAAGAGACGTCGAGAGCAGGCAGGTAGTTGATGACGACTGAGAACTGCTGCACACAGCTAAGACCTTTTCCATGAAGATTAATGATGAATGGTGCCTGGAAAATTAAAAGATCCCAAATTAAAGAGATTCACAAGAAAACACGGGCTGGAATCCCATTAGGGGTAATCATCCGGTGAAGAGAGATAGCCCTTCACCTCCTTCTATACACGCTAGTCATCTTGATAGAGAAATGCTCTCAGGTGTGAAGCAACATGGGTCGGTTGAGCCACCAGCAAATATCGTCAGTGTGACAGGAAGTCCACTCACAACAGAAAAAAAAAACAAAAAAAAACAGAGACTCTAACATCAAGGAGCTGTTTCAGACTGATAGGCTCATTTGATATTTTCTGTAGGTTGCAAGGGGGGGAAAGGTGCAAAAGGAACTTGTGGGGCCCCTGGTAGGAATGGAACACCAGGAAGAAATGGAGCAAAAGGTACTAAAGGAGAACCAAGTCTAGCTGGACCGGGACCTAAAGGTTATCCTGGAGCAAAGGTATTGCACACAAATAGAACTACTGCTAAGTCCTGTGTCCCATAGAAAGATAACTCCTTCTGACCCAAATATGCTGACATGAACAGAAATTCAATAAAATAATGAACAAGAGCAGACAATTAAGACATTCTTACACTCCACAAACATACACTATCCTCCCACTTCTAGAACCCAATGCCAGGAATAACCTTCTCATGGCACCCCCCATAAACCACATATCTGTCTCCGGACACCAGAGCAGGGAGCCGTATGATTGAAGGACCCATCTCACCCACAGCCTATCTATGCCTTCCTAGATCCCCACGTCCATAAGGACCACTCATACCCATTTCTGCCAGTTACTAGCAGCCTGGGTAGCCTGCCATCTTGGGTCAAGTACAACATGCTATCCAACAGAGAGTGGCATCAGAAACACCCTGACTCCCTATTGCTTTGACTGTGGGCACAGGCCCCATGCTGGGCCAGAGGTGTCAGAGCACTGAAGGGATGACATGTCATCCTTGGTCAAAGATCATTGGCCAACTTAACTTAAAGCACAAACTTGCCTATTTAATAAGTGAGCATAACATATTTAAGAGTATGAATCAGAGATGTACAATAAAAAAGTATTAATCTATAACCTCCCATGAAGCTGTTGTACTTACTTTCAATTGGTTGTAGCAATTAATCTGAATGTTTTTTTTGTTCTGCCTTTAGAGTATTTTAGGACGAAGACAAAAAAAAAACTATGATTCAACATTATGCCACATATACCCCTAATTATATTATATCATACTTAATTAGTATTTGTAGTTTTGCAAATATGTAACTTATATTCATAACTTGTAAACTTTTATTCTCACAGATGAAGGCTCCCATGTCACTTATACTGTATGTATGAGCTGAAAAGAAGGAGCAAATACAAATCTTGTATGTGTTTATTGACGAACATGTACAAAATGAGACACCAACATGTGCATTTTTATTGATAGTTATCTTACTCCATACTCATGGTGGTCTTTGCAGAGACCAGTCTTAGTGTTTCTAGCCATACTGCTTTGCCACTTCCTCTCCACAGGCTGGTTACCACCTGTGCCCGTAACTGTAGCCTTCCCCTAGTTCCCAGCTGGGATCAATAGAAAACACCTGGAATACTGGAGAATGTACGTCTCCCATTCAGTCTCTGTAATGGCCTTTGCTCAAATGTAGCTGAACAAACAACAAAACCATCCAGTGCTTCTGCATTCTTTGAGTATTTTTATTATTTTTTGCCTTTGTTGTAGGACTCATCCCAACTGTAAATATGAATATCAGAAACATCTATTTTCAACTTTAAACCATAAGTAAATGTCCTTAAAACCATTCTTTTTATCCTGCAGGGGAATCCTGGAAGTCAAGGTCTTCCAGGTCCAGAAGGACCACAGGGAGCATCTGGAGATTGTGGTTCTCCAGGACGATGTGGACCTTGTGGACCTAAGGGATCTCCTGGACCACCTGGATACAGAGGTCCTACATTCATTTTTACAATTCAACATATGAAACCAAAGCCTGCCAATAGTCTTACACATGTTAAATGAAATCCTTACTTTTGGTCCCAGGTCCACCTGGGAAAGAAGGTGAGAAAGGTTTTGATGGCCCTCGTGGAAAATTTGGACCTCCAGGACAGCCTGGACCCCCAGGTATGCAAACTATTTGACTGCAATTTGTTTTTGTAGCCAATAACTGCTTCCTTTGAGTAACTCTTGACAAGTTATCTGATCTCCCTCTTTAGGATACAAGGGACCTCCTGGAAATCCTGGTCCACCTGGACCTAAAGGAAGCCAGGGCCAAGATGGGATACCTGGACCTGATGGAGAAAAGGGATCCATGGGATGTAAGCAGATTACTGAGCTGACTCAGCTGATGAACTGACTCAGCGGGCTTCACTCAGACTTACAGAAAAAAACACGGAATCTTAAAGTCAGTGAAATTGTCTTTCATTCATGCTTTATGTAGAAGATTGGCAATATATAGGCTTTGGCCATTTGCTAAGCAGACAGATGCTTTTGGATTACTTTAGTCTTAAAAAAGAATAAAAGAAGATATGTTGTTTTTTGTTGAAAGGGGGATGCCACGAGATATTCCTGATAGTTTGGTTCTGACATTCTCACCTAATGTTTTTTCCACAGCCTGTACACCAGGGCCTAAGGGACGAAAAGGAGAAGCAGGTCCAACTGGTAAGTTTTGGGTTTATATTAAGATTATTCTTTACCCTGATTTCACAAAGACCGTTAAAATGTACCTCCTACTCCAGGATCCACAGGGAATAGGGGGTCACCAGGTCCCTATGGCCCTTCCGGTCCAGTTGGTCCTCCAGGAAACCCAGGATTCCCAGGTTTTCCTGGGCCCCCTGGTCCTCCTGGGTCTGCTGGAGAGAGTGGGTCCTGCATTAATGGAATAAAGGGAAATAAAGGATGCCCTGGATCAAAAGGACCCAAAGGTGATGAAACACAACAACATACATGGTTTAGTATTTTTGACACCTCATTTCGTCTGCAGTCAAAGCTTAAAGCCGGGAGTAAACTGCGATTTTTTTCAGTTGTTTCACGCAGCTGCTGCTCACACTGTACGACTAAACGACAGAGTTTCATTGTACAGTGTGAGTTCACAGCTCACGATAAAGGTGCAGCATGACACCCTAATGCGATCTACCTGCTCATATTGTTCGACTACCACGTCGGACTCAGCTCTGCAGTGAGATGGAGCTGCTCTGACTCGTCTATCTGGAAAAATCAGTATTATTGTACTTAATAACCCTGCAAACACTAAATTCAATTCAATTCACAACACAAGTCATCTCAAGGCACTTTACAGTTCAACCAGATCATACAGTCAAATTGATTCAAAGTTTTCTATCTAAGGAAACAATCTGATTACATCGACTCATTGACTCAAATACAATCCCTCACACTAAGCATGCTTGTAGCGACAGTGGAGAGGAAAAACTCCCTTTTAACAGGAAGAAACCTCCAGCAGAACCAGGCTCAGTGTGAGCGGCCATCTGCTGAGGCCGACTGGGGTTCAAGGAGACAGATGCAGAGGTACAAAAAGCAGCTGTAAAAGGCGACCCCGTCCAGGAAACACACAGCCAGGCAGACGAGCTCTGAGCCAGCTCCCATACCAGAGGACGAAGAGAGCACATCCACTCAGTCACGGTCAGAGAAACAGGACCACACTGGAAAACAGGCCAATCTCCAGCATCTATAAACAAAGGTGTTGATGGAAGCAGCACAGCTGATATTTCTCTCCAGGATGGAGTCACAGCCAAACAGGAACAGAGGAGTCTAAGCTACTCTGAGCAAAAGCAGAGAGAGCATAACGTTAGAGATTGAACTAACAGATTCTGCAGAGTAGGAGAATAGAGATAGAATGAAGCAGAATGATAAAATGGGGGTCCCTATGTCCTCCAAAAGTCTAAATCTATAGCAGCATAATTATAGAGATAGTTCAAGATTACCTAAGCCACTCTAACTATAAGCTTTATCAAAAAGGAAAGTTTTAAGCCTAGCCTTAAAAGTAGACAGGGTTTCTGCCTCACGGATTAAAACTTGTAGTTGGTTCCACAGGAGAGGAGCCTGATAACTAAAAGATCTGCCTACCATTCTATTTTTAGAGATTCTAGGAACCACTAGTAAACCTGCAGATTGAGAGCGAAGTGCTCTGTTAGGAACATAAGGAACAATCAGATCTCTGATATCAGATGGAGCTTGGCCATTTAAGGCTTTATATGTGAGAAGGAGGATTTTAAATTCTATTCTGGATTTAACAGGAAGTCAATAAAGAGAAGCTAGGATAGGAGAGATATGGTCTCTCTAAACACTACTGAAAATAAGCACAAATAAATGGAAAGCTACTAAAAAGGGAAAAATGGCAATTTAGGACTCCATTCAAAGAGCTTCTGAGGAATATTCAAGTTTTATGGCTTAATGCATTTTAAGTGTCCCTTAAAAATGCAGCAGATAAATGTGAATAACAATGAACAATCAAAGTAGTGATGCTTTATTCAGTTTTACAGTGAAAATCACATTAGAAATGTATTCACATGTAGGGTTAGCTCAGATGACACCAGCAGATTTGGTTCTGAGGCATCAGATAAAAAAGGGAGGAAAAGAGGGGTTTACTGTGTTGGCTGGGCTGAATGGAGAGGGGACCTGGCCGGCTCGGTTTGTTCCCTTCAGCCCAACTCGGTAAGGACGGGATGAAGTCATGGTCATTTCAGGTCAGAATTATAATCCATTTATCCAACCAGCAGCTCTTTCAGAGACTTGAACCTTTCTGATGCAAACACCAAAGGCAGATCTGTAGGGTTTAATTTTATCACTCACAGCAGCTTGAAAAATGACATCTTAAGACAATGGCAGCACAGTTCCTAACAGTGGTGGGAAAGGGGATCATGGTTATGCGGCTTCGTAGCAGCACCTCGTAGCAGGAAGCAAAGACAATATATGCAGTCTCTCTGAATCATAGGCAGAATGTAGACTGGTTCGGTCAGCGAGCAGACTCTTCTCCAGATGGGTGGCTACGTAACATAGCTTCAGCTGAAAGCCAACATTTCTCTCCTCTCAGACCTGAAGGCCACAGGCAAAGAACAAGTTGAATGGGAGTCGGCTGCTTAAGTAATCTCTATCGCAGGGATATGACGTCAGGTGGAGTCCTGCTACCTTACGTCATCAACATTTCAATTTAATATTTCAATTCAGTTTATTATATAGCGCCATTCACAACACGTTATCTCAAGGAACTTTACAATTCCACCAGATCATACAGTCAAATTGTGAAAGTTTTCAGATTGTTCATGCTTCTTTATCTTTTCTAAAAGGTGATCTAAATCAGTCCTACCTTTCTTTACTCATACTGGGTCAGATCCTGGCATTTGAAATAAGGACAGTAGTAAGGCAGGGAAAGCAGAAAAAAGTGTTAGCCTCGCTGCATGCAGTTAGCCAAGCCTTGTAGCTAAACCAGGTCCTGAAAACTGAATATAACTGAATTGTTTAAGGTAAATGCAACAGTGGGACCTTTTGTCTTGTGTTCTATCTGTTCCTGTGTAATATCAGCTGGTAAGAATCTGTTGGAGGCATTTGTCTTATTTTTCTATTGTACCACTTTTTCTATTGTACCACAATACAATATTTTATGTTATAGGTCCACCTGGCTCTAAAGGTCCCCCTGGACCTCCAGGTCCTGGTTATAAGGGTCAGAAAGGATTGAAAGGACAACAAGGTCCCCCTGGACCCCCTGGACCATCTGGTCATCCTGGTCCTGGAGGAAACCCAGTGAGTAGCCTCCACAGAGTAAAATAACTCACTATTTGGTTACAAACAGAAAATATATTACATTTAGCTTACATTATACTGCTGTTGTTGTTTTGTTGCGTTGTCAGGGTACTTGTGGACCACCTGGACCTCCTGGAATAAAAGGCGATCCAGGACCAGCTGGAGAAAAAGGACCAAGGGGTAGGAACTTTAGTCCCAAGTGATGTCCATATTTTTAGTCAGGCAAAAGCCTACAGGTTGTGGGCCATGAAGATGAGTCTATCCACTGCTTCAGGTTTTAAAACTGCCCTGTTGCAAGTAACAATATTACCCCCTGTGCTAAATACCTTCTTACTGTGGGTGCTGGTCTCAAGGATGCACAAGTAGCATTTCGACAGGAAGCTAATTACTGGAAAGCTTTTCTCATGAATTTTCCACCACTTCAGTGGGTCCATTTCACTGTCTGCATCTTGTGCCAGCAAGTATTTTTCAAACTCCTCAACTGTCTCTTTGTCAGTAAGTTCTGTGCTGGTCCGGTGTAATTTCTTGAAGAAACTGCCCAATTTTTTTCTCTGTTTCATCTGGGTTGGTGGCAGTGCAGTAGCCCCTCCCTCTTCTTCTGGTTCCTCTGTTCTGGCAGAAGTGGATATATCCTCATTTTGTTCAAACATTTTTGACACTGCTCTCATTTTGATGGCACCAACCTTTTCTGCCTTAATGTATTGTGCCTTGAAGTTTGGATGTACCATGGTTGCAATATCAAGCATTTCATCAGTAATCTTTTCATCATACTTTTCATCAAAGTATGACAGGACTGTCATCTCCATGGTCTTTGTGAGCTGTGTTTCATCCTCAGATGTTTTCGGAATCTGTGTTCTGAAAAGATGCAGCATAGGCTTGAAGTATGACACACTCACGTAACGTTCTCCAGTAGTGGACTCAGGGCCCCGTGCAGAGACTCCAGGACATCTAGGTCTTACCAGGAGGGAACCAAGTGCCTGGTCTTCTTATCTGCACTGAGGAGCTGAGAGATGGTTTATGTTGTTCCGGCATCCTCCCAACCGTTTTTATGGCGTAAACACGGCCTTGTGGGTGACTCTTTCACCAACTTATGCTTGGCTATGTAAAGCTCTTCTTGAGCAACAGCCATCTCTCTCTGCTTCTTCCAAGAGAAGCTTAAGGATGCCACCACTCTGCTACATACACCCACAGCCCGCTCCACCCTCTTGTCTTTTCTGGCTCTCTCAGTGGATAAAAGATAAATTGGAATAACACAAATTAAACCCAGAAATCAAATTAATATAAGATTTAAATGCAATGAACACTAAAATTTAAAGCCCTGAAAACACACTCATTAGAACTCACTGTAATTACTTCTTTGCCTTATTTTTCAAAACTTAACAGATTTTATTTATTTTTTTCCCTTTTTCTCTTTTCCTATCTTATCACATTTTTTATTTTTCTAACACTTAGACTAGATGTAATTGTGCCCCACAACTTACCTATACCTGAGTGAATACAATGTCCAAAGCACTGTGGCCGGGTCTTGTTATGTAGGGATATGGCCTTCTACATATTTGTCCCACTATCAGTTGTGATGCAGACTTGTTTATCTTCACTAAGTCCCCAGGATGCAAACACCTCTGACAGTCCTAAAGCAATGACTTCACCCGTGTGGTGGAATTTGGTTAGTTTGATGATATTTGATTTTCAAATTTCAATCTTCAGACTCGACTTGGACTCGCGATTTCAACAATCGTAAATTTATTTTATTTTTTTTAAAGTTGAAGCTGCTCGGCTTCTTTTCTTACCCGCACACAGTAGAATCAGAATAACAGCAAAGGGGCTGTCAGGCAGTCACATAATAATGCTACGTGACGCAGCTTCTGTAGGAAAAAAATACACAATGCTGGGTTCACCACTTCTAATTGACTGGTGTGGACTGGTGTGGACATGCCCCCACCAGTAATTTCGCTTTTATCCTCCTTTTCATCCATTCACTTAAGCCAACAGTAACTGTCAGAGTTAGGTGCAGCTGTCAGCGTTCAGAGAGTTTTGACTGTGTTTTTTTTTTTTCCTCTCTCCCGCTGCTCCCTTGTCCTGCCCATCGGTGTAACATCGTTGATTATGTCAGATGGTAGTGGAGAAGAAGCTGTTTCAGAATCTGCTACACCTGCATCAAATGTTCCAAATATTTCATCATATGTCTTAGAAAAGAGCAGTTTCGGCAGGAAGTTTTGTAAAGTGTGTAGAATAAAATTTTGAAGACACTTTTACTTTAACAGGCATGTGATGAAAGAAGAGACTTTCTCCTAAGGCCCAGAATACACTTAAGATGGACATGGTTTTTAGCATTCATTGAGGGTGAATACTGATAAACCCAAAGTTTATTTTTTGTAGGAATAAGCAGCAATCCAGCAGCAATTTCATCAGTCCAACAGCAAGAGAGACACCTTTGCATAGTAAAATGCAATCTGTTTTGTCAGAAAATAGAAAATAAATCACAAGGGAAAACAGTCAAGTTAGACCTATTTGGAATCTGCTATCTATACACCAATGGCGTAATGACACAACAATAGGCCTGTAAGCAACATTATCTGGGTGGGCCTCATATGAAGTACAACAGGTCATAAAGGTTCAGGGTTAGGCGACAGTTCCATAAATCGGCCAAGAAGATACCATTATGCAATTCTCAGTAGTATTTGATGACACATCACACATGGAATAATAGTTCCAAGTCGTAGTGTAAAAAAAAAAAACCTCAAATACATCGTTCTTTTAAGATCTTTACTGCAGTTTTACCAACCGTCTGATGAACTATACAGTTATTAACAAAGTAATTAAAAGTACCACTGTGTGCTTTGCTATTGGTGTTGTGTTTAAACGGCTCACCATCATGTTATTATCTGGCATGTGTTGGGACATAAATACAGTCCGGTCAGTCACTTCAGTATCAGGTGGGTTTAAGAGGAATTTTTCACACCATTACATCTGCAAAGAGACGTCCTAGTCTACAATTACGTAGGGGACCCACCAGGTGTCAGTGATGGGGCCCCTAAGAGGTCATTTGCCCATAAGCGACTGCTGTCTCTGCTTACAGATATTTACGCCATTGCTATACACAGCAGTCAGTATGACACAGAGATTAAAAAGATGGACTCAACTAGTGTGAACTGGACTACAAGGGAAGAAACCTTCAGCTCTACTAGGCTGAACATTGACAATATGATTCAAAAGAGGCCCAATATTTTACTTTAAAAATAAAGTCTTAAAGGAAGATTTATTCACGAATAAGTTGTATTAAAATGGAAATTAATTGAACTATGAACTGATTTACAGTTTGTATACTCTCATGTTTTAAATGTTCTACTTGTATATCACCACTTTTTAGTAAGATTGATTAGACATCATCTCAACTGTGCTTTAAATGAGTCTATCTCTATCTGTACTCTTCTGTGTTGATTTGTATGACGTTGTAATAAGCTCCTCGAGCTGAGACATCCCTTTTGATCCTGAATTAAACCATCACCTAACATCATTGATTCGGTCTGGACTGATGGAGTAGACTACCTGTGTTTATGACGGTATTGAAGCTAAAACATTGGTCTTTATGTTCTCGTGTACAACAAATTCTTGTAGGCTTTGAAAGAAATCGTATTCAGACACAAGATAAAGATGTTCAAATTGGGTCAAATTTGTTTCCAGATCCAAATCTATTGCTTAGATACGAGATACAAGGTTTTGCTGACATTGGATCTGCATTGTTCTCCCCTTGTGCATGCTTAAGGTATGGAAGGAACAGAAGGACCGCCCGGTAACCGTGGCAAAGACGGATTTCCAGGACTACAGGGAAGGCAAGGTGAGATTTAACAGCCTCATATGAGAATGGGGAGCTTTCCAATTGGCCCTGTTTTACCTAATGATGCCTCTACAGGACAAAGAGGGATAGATGAACGTCCTATTGTGAGGGCAATTCCTGGAGACCAAGGTGAAATGGGAGACCCCGGATTTGATGGAAGAAGAGGACCCCCCGGTTGCAAAGGAGCTATGGGACGTGATGGTTGGTCATCTCGTAATGGTTATTGCTGCAACATCTAAAGCAATTTTCTTGGCATGAAAAGCAGGTTTCATGGTGCATGATGTTTTAATGGGTCCAGGTTTGAAAGGCAGAGCTGGAGAAAAAGGTCAGAAGGGGCAACCTGGTCTTCCTGGGCTGAGGGGAGAAGATGGAGACGATGGAGCAATTGGTGCCAAAGGTATGAATACAAATTTGATCTGGCCTAATATCTGACTTCAGTACTGGTTCTATCACATGTTAAGTTTAAAATTCACAGAATGCCAACTCAACATATAATTGAACTTCCTAAAAACATGAATTGAAATTTGATAATTAAGACCGGGTACTTGACCTGAGAGATAACTGTCTTGACTTTAGACTTGGCTATTACTATCTATGCTTGACTTGGAGAGCTGAGGATAAAGACTTGAGATTTATATTGGACTAGCAGAACATTGACTTTTTCCCAACTCTGGTTAGCAGTAAAACAAATATATAATTTCTATTACTTCATTTTTCTTTTTTACAAAATAAGCTTTAAACATTTCCTAAGTCTTTTGGGGGATAAGATGACATCAAAGCATCATTGTACTTTCAGGTGAGGACGGTGAGCGTGGCAGAACAGGATTTAAGGGCCTTCCCGGTGTACCAGGTGGAGTCAGACCTGGGATGAACGGCTTCCTGTTCACCAGACACAGCCAGGGTCGCTTTATCCCAGAGTGTCCCTCAGGATCCTCCTTTATATTCGATGGATACTCCCTGTTGTTTATCAATGGGTATAGCCGCGCCCACGGACAGGATCTAGGTAAGCCAGCACTGCTGCTTTATCCCTGCTTCCTTCCCAACAGCTTCCATTGTCATCGATGACCATGATGTCATTCAAATAATGTCATTGATGATAAATATATGAAACTGCAGCTTTCAAGCTAATTTTGTGGAGGTCCTATTCTGTTTCTTTTTAATGAATAAGGGTCAATGTACTGAGAACTGTCTGAAGCATGTGTTTTGCTTTGCAACTTGTCTTTTCTCCAGTTTACTCACCCAATAGTGGTACTACACTGCAAAAAATAGAAATCTCAATAAGTTATTTTTTCCTAAAATAAGTGTGTTTTTCCTTGATTTGAGCAGGTAAGTAAGACACTTTGCCAATGGAACAAGACAATTTCCTTTTAAAATAAGAAAAAACTATTTTATCGTCTTATTTCAAGTAAATATTATCTAACTATCTTATTTTAAGAGTAAAAATACTCATTCCATTGGCAAATCATCTTATTTACCTGCTCAAATTAAGGCTAAATATACTTAATTTAAGCCATTTTTTACTTATTTCTGGATTGTTTTTGCAGTGTATGATGAATCATATATTTATAGGATCAGTGTTGTGCCTGAACGCGTTCATTGAACGAAAGTTCATGAACTCGTTCATATTTTGGGCGAACGTGAACTGAACATACTGCATTATTGCCTGATGAACGTTATTGTGAACTCGTTCATTCTGGCGTCTGTGAACGGCACGCTCTCTCAGTTCAGCTTCGTTCAATAGGTTACCAGATTTCTATAAAGCCCTCCAGGCGAAACCCCGGCTAAATCACACCGTAAACAGGCCTTAATATGTAGCGGGAAAAACACCCAATCTGGCAACAGCAGCTACAGAGCGTCGTAGCCTACAGCCGCGTGCGTCATCAAAACAAAATGCAGCGTGTAAGCCACAGCAGCATGGAGGCGACTTAAAACAGGTTTATGACCAGGTGGTCGGTGAGGATGATGGAAACAAGTTTGCCCGCCGGCTTTCAGTAAAAAAATCCGCACTTCAGTAACCTTAAATTCCTACCTCAGCCTGGTCCCTCAGTTTGTGTTAGTAAAATCTTCTTGAGCTGAGGTCTTCAACAGGGGATCCGCGACCCCTAGGGGGTCTACGGAGGTACTGCATGAGGGTCTGCATGGTTAGTTGATATTTTTATATTCCCCCCCTGCATTTTTTTCCCCATTAATTGAAATGTCTTTAAATACTCATTAACATGAAATCAACAGACTGTAGTAAACAGATAAATGGAGGCAGAAGATGTCTTTCAGTCATCAATGCTCACATTCAGCGACACACAGGAGCTCTTTCAAGCTGGGCACCGTTTCCTTCACAACACCTGTCCCATCAACCAGGAATCAGAATCAGAAAAACTTTAATAATCCCAGGGAGAAATTAATTTCTTTACATTACTCCATCTGTAACAGAGTGACTATAGGACACAATTTCATACAATATATATAAATAGGGGGTCCCCGCTCCATCTCGCCATCAGTTTGGGGGTCCTTGGTCTGGAAAAGAAGACCCCTGTTCTTGAGGGTTTTACTATCCATGTAACTTGTTTGTTAAACCTGCCTGGTATAATTTTCCAGGATTCCAGGATTCCTTTTTAGTATGTATTGAAATGGAATTTCAAATGGAAAAAATTATTAAAATAAAAAAAAAACATTTGCACCTTAAAGACTACTTTCCTATTTTTCTTTTAATAATTCCTCATAAAAAAAAGACCATTCAAGCAGCACATTTTTCCTGATGTTTTTGAGAATATACTGTAGGGGTGAAAGCTGCAGCTGCTACTAGTGTGAAGTGAATGGACAGCAACAAAGCGTTAAAGCAACAATGGGGAAATGCTGTCCCCTCAATGCTAATGTAAACCCTGGTTGGATAAGGATTCAGAACTGGATATGAAGATGAAATCAGACGCACAGTTTCAGAGTTACAACTGATAAAATAATTGCTGTCTGTGGTTCTACAGTAGGCTATGGTGTAATTGAGCAATATATGAAAAAAAAAAAAAAAAAAAGAACTGAACTAGTTCGTTTTTTGGAATTGTGAACTATGAACTGAACTAGTTCATTTTAAAATGTGTGAACTGAACTTTGAACTAGTTCACGTAGAAAGAGAACTTTCCCAACACTGTATAGGATAGTACTTACTATATAAACAAACGTCTGTTTAATTTTGACCTCGGTAGGAGAGCAGACAGTAGCAGAAGGTATCAGAAAGTTTAGGCTAGCATAAACCAAACAGATTTGTTTGCTTCATGAAATATGCATTTCCTTTCTTCTTATCTGACCACAGAGATGTGGAACAGATCGATCCTTTAGGATGTCTTATGTTTTACTGGTCTAGGTCGGAGTTAAAGATAAAGACCTGTGGATTGATAATTGTGGAGAAAATTCCTACAATCTCAGCAGAAAACTTTTTTTTTTAAATTAGCAACATTTGAGCATAAATGGAGGATTTCTCAGCTTATTTTATATAGCGTTTATAGCAAAGAGCTGCCAAGTTTCCGAAAATGACAACAGTGGGACTTTAGCTTCACCATGTGTTCGGCCAAGAAAATGTGACTGTTCTTAACGTCGATTTTTACCTTAACACGGATGTCCTCACCTCCAAGTCAGCTTCTCTAACTGCCCTGTGGGCTCCTGATGCTATTATAAATTAACCAGAAATTAGAAATAAAACAAGAATTCGACAACAGTGACATTTCTATGAAATTCACAAAAGGGGTGGCCAGGCAGGGACCAATGTGCACCGGGGGATGGCTGAAAAAGAATAGGCACCAAAACAGTTTAGGGTTAACCTATAATGATCATGATGAACCTACATCTATATTTTCCAAATAAACCACTGAACATGGAGCAGATTATCATGAGGCCCTTGCTAATAAAGCTACAAACATATATAGACATCTGTGCTGTTTAAAGTAATTTATGGTTCAACATAATATATACATTAAATTAGTTGAGTAGTTGATCTTTATTTTTAATTCCATAGAAGACTCCTAAAAAACTGAAGAGACAAACTCTACCTTATAAAAAATACACAAATTCTGTATTAGTCCTCTTTAATTGTATTATATTGTTGTAGATAATTAATTGCTGTATTTTTAACACTATTGGTTAATATACCTACTTAAAAAAAATATTAGTATGACATTCTACATGATGGGATTGTTAAAATGGGGGCCATGGCCCCCCTGGCTCCCCTGTCACCCCGGTTTGACAATATTTAATTTCAAACCACAACACAATAACATGGTTTAGCAAGGGATGTGGGATTTTATGTTTGTTGAACATTTTGGTGCCTTAATAATAGAGATGGGGTTTAATATAAAAGATACTTGATTGCAGAAATTAATATTTGATAGCGGGAATAAAAAAAACATCAGCCCTGGTTTTGGATCAGTTCAGCGAATAGACGGTTCTAGGCATGAGCCAGGAGGGGCCATTGCCCCTAAAGAACTGGTCCTGGACCCTGTTGTGGCTCCTGGACTGAAAACACACACAGCAAAATTGTAAATATAAGTAGGCACATTTTTTTTTAAGTGAGTGTATTTTCCCTTGATTTAAGAAGGTAAGACAATTTGGAGATGGATTAAGATTATTTGTGTATAAAATAAGAAATGAAAAATCCCTTATCTTATTTCAAAAGCCTATTGTTAAATGAGGAAGTTATGTCCCCTAAAAAAGCCGTTGCGCCTCGGGGGTTTCCTCACGGTTTTTTTCCTGGGAGCAAGTTATTTACTACTCTTAACTCAAACTGGGTAAAACCCTATAAAAAAGGACTATAAAACAGGAGTAAAAAATAACAGAGTTTATTCCAGATCAGGTCGTTACAGGACAGAGAAAATGCTTGGAGTTTGCACAGCTGTGGGCTCAAAAATCACGTCCGCGAGTGTCCGGCAAAGATTTGAGCCCCGAACAACGTCATCTCCTGCTTCTTATAGCTCATGAGTCTATGTGTTGCATCATGTTGATGTTTAGCTGTCTGTATCAGAAACTGACATCCATGTCTTGAACTTCATGCAGCTTGCTTCTATGCCTCAGGGTTACAGATAGCTATCCTCTATCAGACCGGCTTCAAGGTGTGCCCATATCCTGTGTATTTTTAAAGACACGAAGGCTGTCCTGATTAGATGACCTCCGTACACACAGTGACATCCACAATGTGAAGGAAGGCCTTCTGCTCTGTCTAATCTGGCTAACAGAATAATAATGCACATGATGTATTAATAATAAACCTAACAATATTATTTAATTATGTCATTCTAAGAGCAGAAATACTCATCCCTTTAGCAGATCCACCTATTTACCTGCTAGAATTAAGAGCAGCTGTATTTATTTTAAGTTTTTTACCTTTCTAAATCAGTTTTTGCAGTGTAACTCTAAATCAATTACTTATGATAATATGCAACTAAAGAACAGATTTTTTTATCTTTTTGACCAATTCAAAAAGATCCATTACTTTAAAGAAAACAGTCCTGTTTTGAACTGTGGGAGTACCCAGAGAGAACCCATGCATGCTCAGGGAGAACATGCGAACTCCGTGCAGAAAGACCCCAGGCCGGGAATACAACCTGGAACCTTCTTGCTGCCTTGAAACAAGAAGGAACTATCTTGTTTTTCTAATTCTTTAATGAGAAAAACAAGGCAGTTCACAAACAGGATACTGGAATCAGGAATGAGGAAACAACTCAATACTGCAGAAGAGATAAAGGGTACGTTTGGTAGAAGGAAGATCTGAATAATGAAAGGCTTGGTTAGATGGTTTCAATAAACAGGGCATATTGGGAGCTTGGTGGTAAGGAGGCTTGGAAGTAAAGGGACCACAGTTGAATCAGGAGCACATCAACTAGGAGTCCCATTACAAAACCATGCCGGACTTCTACATGGAAAAGGAGAAAATGTCAGCTTCAACACAATGAACAAGAAACCCTAACAGAAGAGATGTAGGCCTGTTTACCACTCAGAGAACAATAATCTAGCACTGCTTTCCTCAGGAACACAGCTTCCTTATGAGTTCCAGGTGGAGCCAATGTAGGAGCAGCGCACACATGCACACCCGCACACAAACCTAGAAGTGAGGAAAAAACTACCAGACCTAACAAGATCACTGTTCATTGTGTTCTAATCTAAATAAAAAAAACACTGAAAAAGATATACTCTAACCCCAGGCTCACACCGACTCCGGTCTTACCGTTGCGGTGCGGTGGGTGCGGCGCCGCAGTGATTCCAAGTCATTAAAAAGACGTAAACCTCTCTCACCGGCTGCTGAGCTGTCCGGCTGCGGTTACTGAGACACTCCGACGCTGCAGAAAATTCCGCAAGAAAGCTATCCTTGCAGCGTGCCGGAGCCCTCCGCAACAAGCTCTCGCAAATATCCTTATTTGGGCCGTGTTATCGCGTGAAGTTACGTGAACTCAAGTGAACTTCTGTTCTCGCGAGTTAAATCTCCGGACCTGTTGCCGGAGCCGCAGAGCCGCACCGCACCGTAGTCAAAAGGGCGGTGTGAGAGGGGGTGTGCGGGAGTTGCGGTCTCCGTCGGCTCGGTAACCGCACCGGAGCCAGTGTGAGCAAGGGGTAAGCAATGTCTGAGATCAGTCAGTCTTGATCTCCATTAGTCTGTTGTACAGATTTCTAATCAAAGCAAACACAGCATTCACTCCCATACCGTCTCTTGGGTCCTTCTGTAGGTACAGTCGGTAGTTGTCTCCCGAGGTTCAGCACTTTGCCTTTCCTCATCTGTGAGATTGCGGGAGAATGTCAGTACGCAGAACGTAATGACTACTCCTATTGGCTCTCCAATGTCAGAGACCCTCAGACAAACAGAGAAGAGGATTCACTACAGTTTAAAATCAGCAGGTAAAAAAGTATACACACTAAACATTAATATACACTCACTATTCTTTATTGGAAAGAGAATTTGCTTATTTTAGCAGAATGTGTTGTCTATTAAGGATCGATTACACCTAAATAGGAGAAAACAGACACATATATAGAAATATATAAGCAAATATATGCACACATACTACAGATACCATAACAAATTTGTCAGGAACAAGAATTAAGAATAACCACTGTAGTGATCATTTAAAAAAAAAATACATTACACAGTCTAAGACAGAATAACCATTAACTAATTAGCCCAGTTTGACACAACTAACTGGATCAGAGCTCCTGTTAAGTAATGAGGTTCTGGCTTTCAGTTCCTGCAAAGTTATTAAGGTCAGTGATGGGAAACTAGGGTGATGACATCAGCCCTATTGGTATAAGAACCCTATGTTTCTTCTCATGTCACAAATAGGGCAGTGCTATCTTCTCAATAAATAATCACTTCAGAACTAATCTTCCATACAGACTTTTATAGTTTTTAAGTTTGTATTCTTAAGCAAACAGCAGGACAATGGTTTGTCTCTAAGCTAAACCAAGACCTGCCACATGGTTAGTGTTTACTTTATGGGTTTCAGGTGTTCCGTTTGTGAGGCCAAAGCCAACGTGATTGCTGTCCACAGTCAGACCAGTTACATTCCAAGATGCCCCTCCAACTGGGTATCACTCTGGGAAGGATATTCCTTCGTAATGGTCTGTTGGTTCAATCTATTTTTGTTAACCGCTATGCTAGAATACAGTTTATACAAGGGGTTCCCAGCTATAGTCCACAGTCCTGCAGCTTGAAGATGCATTCCTGCTTCACCACACCTGAATAAAAAACCTTAATCATCAGCATTTAGCTATGCAGCTCTGCAGAGGCCTGTTAATGAGTTGTTCATATGATTAAGATGTGTTGGAATGCATCTGAAGTTTGCAGGTTAGTAGCTCTGGAGGACTATAGTTTGGCATCCCCTGGTTTACATTAAGGCACATTTGTAACCTCGATTAGCTATGCTGTCTTTCTTCAGGAAACTGGTTTAGGTGCTGAGGGTTCCGGTCAGCCTCTGGTTTCACCTGGATCGTGTTTGGAGAACTTCCATAGGATGCCGTTCATCGAGTGTAACGGAAACCCCGGAACCTGCAAGTATGACAGCGGACACTACAGCTACTGGCTGGCTGCTCTCAACCAGGGAAACATGTTTGGGTAAAGATACGCCTTCATTAGTAGTGGTTTTACTCAGATGATGTATTCAATGTGGTGATTAGACGGTATTATCAGCACATTTTGTTTCTGCTAGAACACCACTCTATGCCTTTATCGCCCATATGCAGAAATTCATCCTGCAATCAAAAGCTTGTGGTATTGAAACCCCGTTCTGTCCCTCTCAGTTGTTTTGTCTTTGGGTAGCTATGGCTACAGTGTAGCTTACCATCATTAGTGTGTGAATGTGTGTGTGAATGACTAAATATAGTTTAAAGGTCTTTGGACTCCAATCCCCCAACCCCCCCATTCTGGTCCAATCGTTGAAAAACACAAGCTTACATTTTCCAGAAAAGTTAAAGAAACTGGACTTTGTTTCCAAGTTTTTTTCCACATTTTTCTTCCCATCCAGGAAGCTTTAGTAGTTAGCTAATCTTTAATTAGATTAAGCCGGGCGTACACTGTGTGAGTTTTTTCAGTGGTTGCACGCAGCTACTGCTCACACTGTACGACTAAGCCCTTCGGTTTAGTCGTACAGTGTGAGCTCACAGCTCACGATTTATGTTCGGCCCCACGCTCTCATGAGATCTACCTGCTCACACTGCTCAACTAAAAACTAGGGTTGTCACGATACTAAACTTTTCAACTCAATACCGATACTAAGTAAAATATTCGATACTCGATGTCATTTTCGATACCACAAGGATAAAAACAAAGACTCCAAAATTCAACAGAAATTTTTTCATTAATAAACAAAATACAATAAATAGATAGATAAATACAATAAACAATATTTTGAGGTTGTTTGCTGTGCACAATATTAAGCAAGTTATTGTTCCTTCCTTGGCTATGCTTTGCACATATAACAATGACACTAGCCAAACCAGTTAAAAAACAAAAATAATTCTCAGCAGCTGCACCTGTTACAGAAAAAAGTCTAAAACTAAAAAGTGCACAGAATTATTCAATCACACAGTGTTCAGAAAGTGCATTTTCCTCTAACCTGCGCATAAGATGAATGACTGTTTAGGTGCCACTGGTGGTAGCACTGTATCGATACTTTTGAAAATGAGTATTGTATCCGGATACAACTTTTCAGTATCGATACCTTTTTGAGTATCGATGCTTTTGACAACCCTACCATAAAGCACATCGGACTCAGCTCCGCAGTGAGATGTAGCTGCTCTGACTTATCTATCCGGAAGCCAAACAAACAGAAGGGGAATATTAAGCTCACTATTGCCTTGGCAATTTGTGCAATTTTGTGCTGAAAGCTCTAAAAAGAAAAGGCGATGTTGTATTTGGAAAAAAGACATGACTGAGCAAATGTGGCTTCTACGGTCAATTTTACAGACAGAACTGCATTTCACTCAACGCATCCCTGCCATGCTGCTGTGTTTACAGAAGAATCCTTCTTTGCGATACGCACTGAGCGATTTGCCCACGACGGTCACCCTCACAATTCCTGATCGGGAGATAGTTGTGAGAGGCTGATCGCCCCTCGTAAACCCCTGTATACTACACGACTCACGACGCACGATCAGGCTGAAAGTCGGGCCGATGGAAAGATTCTCGCACAACTGGAAAATCACCCCGAAAATCACACAGTGTGCGCCCGGCTGTAGATTAGCAGTTAAAATGTAGGTAGCTTTTTCAGCCTTGTTTTGCCGTAGAAAACATGCAAATTAAACCGGACAGATGGGTTCGTCTCTTTGGAATGGGGGTCGTTTCATTTCTTTATTACCCGATACCTGTCTATGTCTCTGAAACATGTTAGTCCGGTTAAATTAGCATGTTTTCTAAGCTAAAGTAAGGCTTTGTTTTTGGTCCACGTTATAAAGCCTCAAGCTCAACACTATTTCTGAAATTTTGAATTGAAAAAGCTTCCTGGATGGGAAGTGAGATGTCTTCAAACTTGTGTTGTTGTTTTTTTTTTTTTTTTACTCTTTTGGAATGACTATGACCTGGATGACTGAGAATCTTCCCCAGCACAAGCTTAAGTTCCCTCTCAGGAGCCAAACCTTAGGCTAAAGTATCCTCTACCGTGGTGAGGTTGCACAATATCTGCCCTATGTTTCTTTTTGCCCCTGCCCTTTAAAAGGTCAGTGCACATCAATGGTGTACACACAGTTTCATACTGTTCAAAGTTTTGTTGGAGTGGATTTCTGTCCCTTTTTCCCAGGGCAGTCAATGGGATCCTCAAGTATGATTCGAAGTATCTAGCTAGGAGAAGAATGGGTGGGTTTTGCTGCTTACCATGCAACCTGATCCAAAGAATCAGCAAAAATAGGACAGTTGACAACTTCTAGAATTAGAAAAAAACGTAATAAATTAAATATTTAAAATCATTTTGATATATTAAAATCAACTTAAAGAAACATTGAGAAGTTTTACTACTAATATGAATAACTTAATTTCATTTCAGGAATGGATAATAATATCTAAAAATCAACTGAGGGTCAAACCATAAAGACTATTTGGCTGCTTTTAGGTCCAACATAACATTCAGAGAAACTGTGTTCTGTTACCAAACACATTGTCTATATCACTTTTTACATGCTGTCACTCTGCTGGTAATATTAGTTAGAACCAGCAGATGGCAGCCTTCTCTTGTAAAATGAGATTAGCCATTGTTCTGATAGAATCTCTGTGTTTGTCGTTCTGCAGAAAGCCAAGAGGTTGGACCATTCCAGGAGACACACACAGAAACAAAATTAGTCGCTGTCGAGTCTGCATGAAGCAGATATGACCTTTAACCCCGAAGATCTAAGAACATTTAATGACAAAGCAGACCTTATTCTTCAGGACTCCTTACCTTTACAACAGTCACAAATGAGCAATGCAGAATCCAAAGAATTTAGCGTCTTGTAACACTTTGATAAATAACATTCCACTTTGATTCTGACTGTACTAAAGGATTTTCCAGTCTTGAAAATATTCTCGTCTTCACATGTTTTTGTTTTTTAAGTCAAATTTGTATGTTTTAGATGATGAAATAAATTCTTATTTCAAATGTAACTTCAGCAAATATGAAAGAAAAATGTCATGTAATGATCTTATGTGTTGGTGAGGGGGGCTTAAACAAATCTGTTTTGGCTCTAAACCATAATTTGCAGATGCAGCTGTTTTAAAGTGTTTGTTATACTGTAGGTTTTAACAAATCCTCAGCATCACTGAGGAAGACTTCTCATCTGCAGAGGTCAGGCGTGAGTATTTTGGTTATTCTTAAAGTCCAGAGTTTGATTTAAGCTCCAAAGCTATTTTGATTGTGTAGTTTTATGTTTAGCTATTCATTAGAGGTCTTATAGGAAGAGTTTGTTCCCTTGTCTGGATTTACTGGTTCCATCCAGTACAGCAGTTTGTCCAGGTCCTTGACTGGCAATGCAGACCCAGATCGTCACATTTCCACCACCATGTTTGATTATAGGAATATTTTTCTCCTTCTGTATTTTCGTGTTCTTTATACCTGATGGTCTCTCATCCATCATCCCATCGAGATCAGAGATCCGAAGAGATACAGAAAGAAAATCCAGGTTGGTGTCAGGAAGCACTTCCAGGTTCAATACACAGGCAGAAGTACAGCAGGAGTCCAGAGACAGGCCAGACAAACAGATCAGAACAGGACCAGGCCGTCTCAGAGGTCCAAAGGCCGAACAGCTTAGGGTCAGGCAATCAGAACACCATAAAAGCTAGAGAGCTCCTTCCAAAGGCTAGAGAATAATCTGGCACTGATGACTGGTTAAATAAAATCTGGAGCTGGTGGATCAGGTGAGCGCAAATATAGAAACAGGGCTGAGGTAGGCAGGAGAATGAAAGGACTAATCAACTACTATGAAACTAAAATTGTTTAGAAACTAGTTGCTAAACAAGTGCGTGAGCAATTACACCATAATGAACTTTTTGAAGAGTTTCAGTTTGGTTTTAGAGCAGCATAGCACTGAAAAAGCTCCGGTGAAAGTCACTAATGATATTCTCATGGCCTCAGATTGTATCTGTAATTGTCCTGTTAGATCTTAATGCTGCATTTGATTCAGTTGATCATACTGTAATATTCTTTTAAAAAGACTTTAATGTTTTTTAGGAATTAAAACAGCACTAGACTGGTTTAAATCTTATCTATCTGATCAATTTCAGTTTGTTCACGTTAATGACAAATCTTCTTCATGCTCAAGAGTTACCTGTGGAGTACCACAGGGATCAGTTCTAGGACCAATTCTCTTTACATTATATATGCTCCCAATCGGTAGAATTATGAGACAGAATGCCCACTGTTATGCTGATAATACTCAGCTATATCTGTCTATAAATCCAGATGAAGCTAACCCATTACATAGATTACAGGCATGTCTTGAAGACATAAAAACCTGGATGACTCTTAACTTTCTGCTCCTGAATGCAGACAAAACAGAAGTTATAGTCTTTGGACCAGAGTCTTTGAAAAAGAAGCTGATTAGTCAGTCACTTTATTTGGATGGGATTAAACTGATCTTGGATAATAAAGTTAAAAATATTTGTATTATTTTTGATCAGGACCTGTGATTTATATCCTATATCAAACAGGTTTCTAGAATTTCCTTTCATCTGCAGAATATTGCAAAAATTAGAAATATCCCATCCAGGGGTGATGCTGAGAAACTAGTCCATGCATTTGTTACTTCCAGGCTGGACTATTGTAATTCTTTACTATCAGGAAGTCCGCAAACTGTAGTTAAAAGCCTTCAGCTGATCCAAAATGCTGCAGCCAGAGTTCTGATGAAAATTAAAAAGAGAGATCATATCTCTCCTATCCTGGCTTCTCCTCATTGGCTTCCTGTTAAATCCAGAATAGAATTTAAAATCATCCTCCTCACATATAAAGCCTTAAATGGCCAAGCTCCATCTGATATCAGAGATCTGATTGTTCCTTATGTTCCTAACAGAGCACTTCACTCTCAATCTGCAGGTTTACTAGTGGTTCCTAGAATTTCTAAAAGTAGAATGGGAGGCAGATCTTTTAGTTATCAGGCTCCTCTACTGTGGAACCAACTACCAGTTTTAGTCCGTGAGGCAGACACCCTGTCACTTTTAAGGCTAGGCTTAAAACTTTCCTTTTTGATAAAGCTTATAGGGAAAGAGGCTCAGGTTATCCTGAGCTATCTCTACAGTTATGCTGCTATAGGCTTAGACTTCTTGAGGACATAGGGACCCCTTTTCATCATTTTGCCTCTCCCACTCTGCACAATCTGTTCAATCTCTAACATTTTGCTCCCTGCTTTTTCTCATAGCAGCTTCACCTTGTCCACTCCTGCTTAGCTGTGACTCCATCCTGGAGAGAAATATCAGCTGTGCTGCTGCCATCAACAACTTTATTTATAGATGTTGAAGATTGGCCTGTTTTTCAGTGTAGTCCTGTTTCTCTGACTGTGACAGGCTGGATGTGCTCTCTTCATCCTCTGACATGGGAGCTGGCTCGGAGCTCGTCTGCCTGGCTGTGTGTTTCCTGGATGGGGCCGCCTTTTACAGCTTCTTTTTGTTTCTCCGCTTCCGTCTCCTTGAACCCCAGTCGGCCTCAGCAGATGGTCGCTCACACTGAGCCTGGTTCTGCTGGAGGTTTCTTCCTGTTAAAAGAGAGTTTTTCCTCTCCACTGTCTCTACAAGCATGCTTAGTGTGAAGGATTGCATTCAGGTCAATGCAATCAACTGGTTTTCCTTAGATAGAAAACTTTGTATCAATTTGACTGTATGATCTGGTTGAACTGTAAAGTGCCTTCAGATGACGTGTTGTGAATTGGCGCTATATAAATAAACTGAACTGAATTGAATTAATCAAGTCAGTTATTAGCGCCACGGTATTTTCACCAACTTCATGCTGTCATCAATGTTCTACACAAGAAATTTCTAGATTCTGGTGTAGAACTGGACTCAGCTTATTAACAATGTGTTTAATCCCCGGTAAGGCAGGAGATGAAGCTCAGGGTGCCTGAATGATTCTGATAACATTTGAGCTCTCAGCTATGGTAATGAGCTTTGACGACAAAAATTTGTCAACCAGACCTTACAAGTGGTGAAATTTGACATTTATCAATAAGACATCTGATTGGCTGTGAGGACAGGGGATGAAGCCTAAAAGAGATTAGGTATGTAGTTGGTCAATATAAAATGTTCAGTAATGAGTTTTCATTACTGTCTTTTTAAGCTGAAGGCTTTTAAATCTACATCACCTTAATGTATGTAAAGGAGAATAACAATCCGGTAACAAGGACACAAATACATGAATTACATTTTCAGCATCATTTCTGCGCACAATATTTAAAACTTTGGCAAAATTAGGGACTTTAAAGGAAATTCTAGAAACTTGTTTAGTATAAGATTTAAGAGACAATCAATAATGATAATTGTTATTTTTAGACCCCGTCTAAGGACAAAGAATCTCTTACATTTTCTTACATGCATCACTTTCCTAGGCTTTCTGATCTTTAACAATTAATATTCAGTGACTAAAATAAATTTTTTAGTTTGTGACCATCTGAATGTCAGCAAGTGTCTCTTCACTTTTCTTGAAGTGGACGTTTTGGATGAAATTATTCTAAACGGTTTTTAAAAAAAAAATCTGTATATGAAGAATCAACTGAATGACTCAGAGCCAAGAAAACAAACGTATGCATCACAGCACGGAGGAGTGATGTCATCGATCTCCCATCTAGCTCCTTTGTCTTGCTATGTGTGTGTGTTCATGCCAGCGGGTCCTTAGTGACGGCTGCTCTCTGCTAATGTGTCACCACGGCAACCACCTGCTGTTAATGTGTTGTTTATTAGTACAGAAGATGATGAAGACACCGAAGATGGAAACGTTTGAACAGATTCCTGCCAGAGATCATAAAGCTGCCGAGGAAAGTCATCAAACCCACCGACCATGGATGGAAGAAGCTTTTCATGAGCAGCGATTTAATAAAACCACAAATTTGTTTTATTTCAAAATAAGCTTTCTCATGAAAATCTTCTTTGACATGTTCTAAATAACTTAATAATGGTATTAAAAACTTGAATCATTATGCAGCTTTATAAAGAACCTGTAGAACCAGTAAAAAACTGTCCTAAATATATTGCCATTAATCCACTGGTTGCTAAATCCATGATAAAAGGAAACAAACATGGTTAGAATCAAAAGTCTGGAAAATTTTCTGCCCCATTCGGCCCTTGGAGAAGAGCCTGGATCTTCAAAGCACGATTGCATCTTTGTCTGTAATGTATAACAATGTGTATCAATGCAAAAAGTTGAGGTAAGATTTAGAAGAGCTTTTCTGATGTTTCTCAACTACTTTTCTTTGTAATTTTAAATAAAATAATAAGGAGATGTTCATGTTCTCTGCAGCTTAAATGAATGTTTCCCTGGTTGAGAGCAGCCAGCCAGTAGCTGTAGTGGCCGCTGTCATACTTGCAGGTTCCCAGGTTTCCTTTACACACGATAAAGGGCATTATTTTAAAAGAGGGATGGTTCAATTAAATTTAATAAAATAGCACAGAAAGTGTTATCAGAATGGACTTTACAGAGACAGTTCAATCAGATCATCCAGTTAGATTGGTTGGAAAGTTCTATCTAAGAAAAACCAGCTGATAGTATCCTGTCATTGACTTTGCAGGATTCTCTCCTCTTTGATGAGCTTGTAGAGACAGTTTATACTCTGTTGGATTGTTACATTGGCTCTTTAGCAATCCTTCACACCAAGTATCCATGCATCGGCAATGGATAGGGACTATGGGTTTAAGGGAACGGCAACATACTAAAAGGAACATGAAACTGATCTATAAAGACTTTCCATGTTAGAAAAGGTAACACTAAACTAGCTCCAAGGGTGGCACTCTATAAGAAACAGTTAAGCAGATGAGCTTTGCAGTGAAGAAAAAACGTATTATACTATGCAATAAAGTTAAATAAAGGAGATAGATGGTAATTCCCTCAGTCAGTATTTTATTTTCAAAAGAGATGACAAGGCAATCATAGAGGCCCTAATGCCGCAATGTTTGGCCCTGTTCTTGTT